CCATCCTATCTCCTTAACCTTTGCTATAGACAGTCTTCAGCTTCTGGGCATGTTCCACAGCTGCAGATGTGCTATGAATGAATCACAAAGCAAAACATGTGATTGTTCTCTCTGGCTTTTACATAGCACAATGGCAAAGAGATGGAAGTCTCATCCTCACCATGCAGTCCAGTCATGGCTTTCCCCAAAGAATCTTGGGAAATGTTGTTTACACCTCACAGAGCTACAGTTCCCAGTACCCTCAACAAACTACGATTCCCAGGATTCTTAAGGGAGAGCTAAGTATGGATGTTACCTGAGCTATGATTCAACAAATCCTATTAATCTTACCTCTGCTATTAATAGGCAAGGTGTTCCATCTATGCAGAGGTAGTATGAGGAGGAAAATTGAATGCTCCAGACTGAGTCTTAGACCAGAAGATGTACTCCCTTGAAGGACTATGTCCATGGTTTGGAAGTTCTCAGGGATTTGACCCTGAGTCTCCCAGTCCTAGCCTGACACTGTTAACTGCTACCCCACACTAGTTGGGAATTCAATACTACATATAATTCAATACTGCTTCTTTTCACTCACACTGAAGGCTACAGTTATGTTGTCACTTTAGAACTGCATTACCATCTTCTCTCTTCTGTTTATGGTGGAACAAAACTACAGGGTGGTGATCTGAAATACCAGCGATAAGAACAAAAAAGAGCTGTGCAATGAAAAACAAAGGAACACTGCGCTGCGACCTTTTAAACCACATCCTGAAATGACACCGGCTATATCCTTTGCACAAATATATCCCAACCCTCACAGCACTGAGGAGCTTCCCAAAAAACTTTCACTTGCTGGTTTAAACTGGGAGTTTTTCACACACACAAAATCACTTCCTGTTGATACTTAAGTTTGAAGCAAACAAGCTAGTTCAATGTGGGAAATAGAGCATACCTTAATATAAGGGTTAGCAGACAACATACCATAGTCCATCAGGGGCAAATGGACTAACTTCTAGTCAAACCATCATCTTATTATTACCATCATTGCTGGGTCATAAACAGAAGAGAGAAATCTTTTTTCTTCTTCTTTTTTTGGGAAATAATTGGGGGGGGGTTTAAAAACTGTGTTAAAAAAATAGTTGTCGGGGTTTTTTTTAAGGTTTTGTCAAGTAACAACTTTCATGGCTAAAAAGTAAATATTGTCATTGAAGAAAAATTACCACTGTGGGAGAAAAATATACAATTTCAGACAAACCAAAAACCTGTGCAAAGCATTATGCAAGCCCTGCATAACAGACCTAGAAGGTATGGGGATAGCTCAGTTGGTAGTGCAACAGACTCTTAATCTCAGGGTTATGGGTTCAAGCCCCATGTTGGGCATGAGATTCCTGAATTGCAGGGGGTTCGACTAATGACCCTTGTGTTCCCTTCCAACTCTACAATTCTGTGATTCTAAGAAGGCTTTGGCTCAACTGTCCACCAGCTGATGGCCAGTAGAGTCAAAGGCATCTTTTTGCAGGCACTGGCTGTGCGAGTTCCCCAGAACTCTTGCAGCCAATCCAGCAGGCAGATTTCTGCTCTTCCAGCTGATGGAAGTAAAGCCCAAGTCTGTTTTCCCTTGCCAATACACCAGTGGGAATGCAGTTTAAGGATCCCAATGATACATTGGTGGCTGTGTCTGTACCTGCTGCTCACAGGAAGTCGTGTAAGATGTCAGACGTTGGGCTTATGGGCGTGGTTTGTGGAAAACAGCTTTACAGGCCAAATTTGAAACCCAAGTTTGGTCCCCAGGCTAGGGATATCCCTTCTGTGCTCTAGAACAAATGATCAAAGTAGCCCCCCACAGCTTGGGATAAAAGGTTGCCTCTCCATACATATCTGCACTATTTTTGTATGTGCATGTTTTACTTCAAATCTTGAAAACTGTTACCTGCCACTATTGGCAGATTTACAGTTATGCACAAAGGCTTATGGAAGCAACTTCTTTAAAAAAAACCACACACACACATTCCCCCACCCCCAAAAAAATTTCAGATCTTTGGTGCGCTCTTCTTTTTAAATTGCTGGAAATATTTGTGGCTTACATTTTTGGCAAATGTCTCTCCTGTATTTAATTATATCCCCCCAAATCTTTCCCCTTCATTAAGCTCCCTTTTCACCTTTAAGTGCTGCATTTAGCCACAAAAAAGGGGGTGGCGTCCTACACAATGCCTTTACTAATCTGTTATATCAATCTCATCACACTTATCTGGCTTCGGGGTATTAAAGCTCACTCCCCGACCCCAATGAATATCATCCAAATCTTTGTCTTCTTAATCTCCTTAAGGGTTCAATTATGCTACTCCTCGCAACATGGGGCGACGAGGAGGAGTGGCACAGGTGGGGATGGAGGCTGCACGTCTTAAAAAAAAAGAACCCTAATCCTTTCAAAGGTGCTGGAGAAGCATAAAGAGAGGCACAGTGAGTGTGTGCTTCCTCAAAGAGCATGCATATGAAATACATGGGTGCCCTTGTGTTTCTTGCGCTTCTTTCTTGGCCAACGATGTTGTTGTTTAGTTGTTTAGTCGTGTCCGACTCTTTGTGACCCCATGGACCAGAGCACGCCAGGCACTCCTGTCTTCCACTGCCTCCTGCAGTTTGGTCAAACTCATGCTGGTAGCTTCGAGAACACCATCCAACCATCTCGTCCTCTGTCGTCCCCTTCTCCTTGTGCCCTCAATCTTTCCCAACATCAGAGTCTTTTCCATGTCTCTGGAGTCTTCTCTTCTCATGAGGTGGCCAAAGTATTGGAGCCTCAGCTTCACGATCTGTCCTTCCAGTGAGCACTCAGGGCTGATTTCCTTCAGAATGGATAGGTTTGATCTTCTTGCAGTCCATGGGACTGTCAAGAGTCTCCTCCAGCACCATAATTCAAAAGCATCAATTCTTCGGCGATCAGCCTTCTTTATGGTCCAGCTCTCACTTCCATACATCACTACTGGGAAAACCATAGCTTTAACCATATGGACCTTTGTTGGCAAGATGGCCAATGATACAGGAAGTCAAATACCAGGGCAATATAGAGTGCTTGTGTATGCGTGGCTGTGCAATTATTTATGGAACACTTTGTTTTGGATGTTTGTATGTGATGCCAATAAAAGGTTTGATGACAATGATTTATGGGATACCAATGGACAAGAATTAATGATGCCAAAACAGATGTGCTACACACTTTTCCTAAATGCAGTCCATTTTTCCTTCCTTGAGTTCTAACACCCCCCCCATGAAGACTATTTGCATGAGGAAACGGCTCCACCAGTGCAGTTTCCCCACTCAAAACTAGCTTTCTGGAGTCTTAATTTAACTGAAGCTGCATTTACATGCACATGCAAATCAGGACAACTTCCTCTACCTCCCATAAATTGGTCTTAAAACTTGCATGTGGATGTGCCTGGCGCAAAGAAAGAACGAAGGCTGCCTCAAGTTGTAGCCAACATTTCTCACAAACACTTTCGTCATCTTTTCTCCCTAGGCAGCAGTCTTCAATTTCAGTCACTATATGAATTGAGAACCTGTGCAAAACATTCCCAGCAGTGAAGTCACAATTTATAGAACTATGATACCCAAAATAAAATACGATGAGTTAGTACAGGAATCTGTATTTGCTGCATTCCAGTCTCTCACTTTGCTGCGCCTCTCATATAAGAACCTGCCTTCCCAATCATTCATTCTGCCCAGCAATTTCTGCTCACAATGCAGTGGTATCAAAGCAACATTGCAATCTGAGATCCTTTAAGTCACGGGTGGGAAACCTTTGGCTTCCCAGATGTTGTTGGGCTGCAAGTCCCATCAGATCCAACCAGCACTGCCAATGGTAAGGGATGATGGGAGCTGGAGTTCAACAAAATCTAGAGAGCCACCGTTTCCCATCCCTGCTCTAAGCAGAAATGCTGGGGATTAAACTAGAACCTTTTACATGCAGAGTGCATGCTTGGCCACTGAGCTCTGTGCTCATGGCTTGTTTCTAGCTGTGGTGTGCATTTCATCTGAATATCTGCTCCTACTAAACATAGGGTATTTCTTGTTTTAATGGAAGCTCAGCATAAGGTTTATCCTCATTTGTGTCGGAAACTCTAGAAAGTTCACACTCTAGAATTTGTGAATTTTCACTCATTAACCGAAGTATCCTAAATGCAATTTAACCCATTATTTCTTCCAAAGTGACACAGTACAATACTCTTAATTAAAGCACCAATTAAATGCCATCTAGCTATTGCTTTGTGATGCCATTTACAACTTGCAAAATTTCAAATTTCAGCCCTTTGTGTGCCTCACACATGCATGCATAGTAACCAAAAAAGCTTTTAATAAAATAGTACCACACATTAATCCTGTTCCCAGATGATCTTGGCTTCTCTCCAAAAGACTAGCCATCGCCCATATTGGGCAGTGACCTTTTCTTTACAGCGTAAACAAAATCAAACCATTACCTTGTCTACAAGTAACAAGAAGAAACATTTTTTTAAAACGAAGGACATTTTTTTTGCAAACAAATGTCACAAAAATCAGGACCCCCCCCCCAAAAAAAACCCCAACAACTAATGAGCAATGCTCATGGAAGAATTCAGGTTTGAGTGACGCATAATTCAGAAGAGGCTGATCTTCTTACTTTCATGCAATTCAAATTTAGTTAAATAAAATTATAGCCTGAGCATGCAAAACCTTGGTTCAAAAGCAGAATGATTTAAGACACCCATGAGCATGGTAAAACAGAGCAATAATTAAGAAGAGTTCTGCAGTTTAAACTGCAGATGTTACCCTCTGTAAAAAGACTATAATAGTAAAAAAATAATATTACGTTTCCTAGGCAACTGTTTTATCTAGACATGATCCTTCCAAGTTGCAGTATTTTGTCATCATATGTACAATACATTTAATGCCCGGGGGTGTGGGGTGTGATCCAGCTCCTCCCTGAGAACAGCAAGGTATACATGCAGGCCTGCACATCTGTGCAGTTTTTGGTACATGGGAGGGAAGAATCCCCTTGTACATGCAAAGATCTCCACGTGCAAAAGAATTCATTCAGAGAAGGACCAAATCATGTCTTTATTTTTCTCATCCTCACAACAACCCTGTGAGGTAGGATGTATTTGTTATGTAGAGAAAGGATGTTCCCACAAACTGACCTGCCTGCAAGTCAGTACCTGAGCAAGGATTTGAAGGCTGGAGTCCTAACTGCAACATTTCATCTACCTATAGATATTGGATGGCCACTAAGAACACATTCAAAATCCACAGGGTGACTGAATAAAGCCACCCCCTCCAAAAGGAGGAGGGGGAGGAACCATGAAGGCAAATTTTACAAGAGGAAACTATTGTGCACTGATGAGGAATGACCTACAGGACCTCGGGGTTTTGTTTGGTTTCCACTGTATAATATTGCTAATTATTTTCTGTAAGGTCATGGTGAACAAGATCCAGACAAGTTACACACATTGAAAACAATTGGGGGTGGGGGGAAGAGCACAATAGGTTTTGCTAAGCTACAAAATTTCAGGTGTATTAAACGCTTTCTCACTAGCTGTATAGGTTTCCAATTCATGCGCTGTTTGTAATGCTAATAGATACTGGTGGCCTCCATCCAGTGTGGGTTCATTGGCCACATGCAAACTGTTTCTGTGCATACACTAGAGTTTCCCCTTTGTCTTCTTCTTGACTATTGTGCTGAACTTGTGGCAGGATCTAAACTAAAGGCTTTAGGTGCTTTCTTCTGGGCTGTGAAGGGGTCCAGAATTTCCACACACTGCCTTAGACTAAGGCACCTGTCCCCACCCAAAAAACACCCCACTTTATACTTGGGTTTAATTCAGGCATCATGGTGAAAGACACTTATCCATGACAGAAAAGTAGAGATGCCATTGGTTGTAATTAGTTAGCAAACTATAATTAGAAATAGGCTTGCAAAACCAAGGTTTGTGCTGACTATGATATCTGAATTTCCAAACCATAGTTGCAAGAAGAAACCTAGTAAACTGAGTCAGACCTTGGTCCATCTAGCTCAATAACTGTCTACACTGATCAGCAACTGCTCTCTGAGATTTAGGACAAGAGTCTTTTCCAGCCTCACACAGAGACGTTTGTATTGAGCACTGATACCTATCTGTAATCACATAGATTCCCCCATGAATTTTCCACAGTTTATTATTGAAGAACTGATGCAGCAAGAGAAAAACCATGTAATTCACATTTTATTGCTGTAGTATGGCTTGATGTCCCAATAAATAGGATGTTTTAGCAGATGCCACACTGTTTCATCCATTTTAAAGACTCATCTTCATCAAATTGACTATTTATTCTTAAAAACGATATTAGGGGGGGAAATAGACACGAGGGTTCAATGCTTAACCTCCATATCAGAGGGGGAAAAGAACAATTCCTTATTAAGATAATATGCAAAATGTACAAATTCTCCTATCAACCAGAAACTCTTCAACTGACTAGAATTCCAGTAACTAGCCAAGTCAATACAACATTTGGTCACCGTGTTTGGTCTTTTTAATACTTTGAACAAGCATCTGCTGGTGTCTTCACCGTAAAAGCAGCACTCTTCAAAAACAACAGAACACAGCACCATTCTATATTTTTTCTTTGTTTAGTAGATGTCAGAGAATTCTTCTTCTTTGTTACCATCTCATGTGGGTGCCATTGCCCTTCTAAGAGGACGAGGGAGGCATGCAAGGTGAGTTCTGGCACCTCTTTTTCTAGAAAAGTAGCACTGGTCACCATCTGAGAGACGGTCTTCATACAGCTCCAAGTGACAAATTAAGTCTGCTTGACAGAAAGAGTCATGTCACAAAACAAAAATGGCAGTGACTGAAACCAGCAACAGGATACTAGCAGCCTGTCGGCTGCTGCCCGACGTCCTCCGAGCATGGACAACTGCAAATACCGCATTAGTATGATTTGTTGGTATGTCTACATTGCAGATCATCCCTTCACAGCAAGAGATGCATTCCTGTAAGTTTTAAAAGACAACATGTGATTTTTTTATTTAATTAATCAATGAATTACATCTGCAAAAAGTTGCAAGTGAAGAAAAATAAGCATTCTGAAGGAGCATTTTTTGTTTTGCTATAGTAGGCTCAACTTAAGAAAGGGCATTCCATCAATACACCATGGCAGAGGGATGCCTCTTTTATGGTGGTACCTGGCATCTGTGGGTTGGTGTTTTGTTTCACAAGTACCTGCATTACAAATAAGCAAGCGATCTGTTTCCTGATTTATTTGATAACAATTAAAGTTGCTTCCACACCAAGTTCCTTACACTTAACTGGAAAGGAAGTTCCACAGAGCAGTAATATGGCACTATGTTATCCAAATGTACTGTACTGTAGCTGTGTCAAGGAGGCAGAAAGGAACCCACTGCTCTTGAACAGAACAGGAGCTAAATGGCAGTTCATTATTATCCGTCAATCGAACTGAAAGCGGAGAAACAGCAGCCGCAATGTTTCTACAGTAGTAAAAGTTGCAGTTCTCAGCAATGCTTTGCCTGTCTACATTGCATTTGTGTTGTGCAGCAAGAAATAGAAAACAAATGCCACAAATTGAGCCCGGCGGGGAGAGATGGGGATTCCTGGGATATAACAATTTGGCAATGGCAGTGTCTGGATCCTCTGTAAGGAATGAGTGAATGAACGACAGTAATTCCTGAGAAAAGAGCTAATTACAGTGGAAGCAACCTAAATGTCACAGCCTCATATGGCAGCAGTTTCTTTACCATAATTAATTAACGGAAACTTGACATTTTTATGTAACTGTTAAATGCATAATAAAGGGCTGAATCCCTGCTAAATGTGTGCTTTTAAACGGAAGGTTAATAATTTGTGTAATGCTCTTGACATGCGATGTGCAACCTAGAAGAATGCACACTTGCAGATTCCCATTGCCAGCAACAGAATGGTAAACCATGTGAGTGCAAAGGAAACATCCTTCATCTGTGGCCAGCATTGTTGAATGTTCTGGCTTCCCCCTGCTTCATAATTATCGTGGTTTTTCTCCTCTACATCAGCTCTGTGAAAATAATGCCCATTGTCCCCATTTTATGGTTGTGAGACTGAGATTCAGCCTGAATGAGATGCCAAAAGCACCCAGTGAGTTCTGTAACTGAGCTGATACTTTGGCCAATGCCCAAGCATGACACTTCTGTCAATAGGCCACACCAATTCCCAACAGTGAAGACCTCCATCAGTGATTCAGCTACATATAAACACGCATCATTTTGTCTACTACATGCATGCAATATCTAGGTCAAAATGTATTAACCCACATACAAGATATTCCCTTAGCGGCCTGATCACAGATGTCTGACAGTCTGGGACCTCAGCTGTCAGCAAGAACACAAGGGCCAAGGAAACCTTGCTTTTTCCAGCCTCTTGTCCTTAAAAATAAATTTAAAAATCAAAATTCTAGTTGACTGATGTTCTGCAACCTACATAAACAAACGCGAACCAAGCAAAAATTATTTGTATGTTCTGTGCAATGTAATCAGCTTCTTCTGGAACGCTAATATGTGCATAATAAGCTGCTCCTGGTGAGTGACTAAAATAAATTTAATAATTAATAATACACACTATGGCCTTTTAAACTGGGAGGGGGATTACTGTTTTTGTTTGTTACTATGTTGTGTGTTTTTGTGTTGTAAACTGCCCTATGATCCTTGGACGAAGGGCGGTATAGAAACTTAATACAGTCATACCTCGGGTTGCAGTCGCTTCAGGTTAAGCCTTTTGGGTTGTGCTCCGCAGCGACCCGGAAGTAACGGAGCGTGTTACTTCCGGGTTTTGCTGCTCGCACATGCGCAGACGCTCAAAATGACATCACACGCATGCGCGGAAGCGGCGAATTGTGACCCACGCATGTGCAGACGCGGGTTGCGTTCACGTCAGGATGCAAACGGGGCTCCAGAACGGATCCCATTTGCATCCAGAGGTACCACTGTACATCATCACCATCATCACCAATGCAAGGCAACAACTATACTTGGGATGGGGATTACTGTTGTCTTCTGAGTGTAATGATTGCCTAATTTATGCCTTGGGTGTGGAGGACAGAGAGGGCACCATGTTCTAAAGTACTTTCCTGTACACAAAAAGGCAATGCTCACAGTGTGACTAGTTTCCCTGTGGTGGCGACATCCAACAAAACGGCACTCTTCTCTGGTAGCACATTTTTTAGTGACAGAGGTGCTCCTTCCATGACTGGTGAAGTGATGGACTGTCAAGCAGTACTCTGTGTCTAAGCAACCAAAAGGAAGAAGAGAAAATCAGTAATAGAGTTGATACAGTGAGATTCAAATCAGAGACTGGACTTTCTGACCAGAACTCAGGATGTCTGGAGTTTTCATAAATAAGGCATTCTTTTTCTGCCTCCATTGCCCTGCATCACCTGGTTTGATCACAGACACATCTCTCCTTGCTTCAGAATATTTTAAAAGCTTGTTCTCTGAAATTAGGGCATACACTTTCTGGTCCTGTTCTTCCTTAGATGGGAAATCCCTACATATTAGCATACGCTCCTGCATTCCACTGGATGCAGGTTTTCCTAAGGTACTGGAGAAGGTGGCCAGGGTACTAGCACAACCCACCCTGCACCCATTCCTTTGACCAGCACATTTTCCCACACAAAAGGCAAGACAGCACTGCTTGCATCTAAATGCAATCTGCAGCACACATAGAGATTGGGGGTGTGGGTGTTACCTAGACAAAAACTAAAGGAGTGACAACCACCTTTCCAATACCAAGTCACCATTTTGTTTTCCAATAACATGTTCCAAAGGTGCCCTTCATATATTACAGAGGAACTGCTGATTTGTGACATGTTAAAGTCTTGGCATCCTATTGGTGGGTTTGGTCTTGTGGGTGCTTTCTGTGCAGTGGATGACAAGCTGGGAATGGAAACAGCCCTATGGGAAAGAGCCTTACAGCAACAACATAAAATGAAGTTACTGATAAGATATGAAGGACACCAAAGTCAGATATACATGTGATTGGCTCTATGACAAATAAGAAGCATGGCAAGTACAGCAGCGTACTCTAAAGCCAATAGTGTTAAATACCTTCTTAGCTACTTTGATATCTAAAATATGGTGTGGTCAGATGCAAAAGCCAGAACAAATAACATTAAATATCTTACTGTTCCCCATGTACTTACTCTGAGGACACCATTTGTCTTCAGCCCATCTGTTACAGTTGTAATTGTCAACCACATTGTCACATGTAAAACACTTGAAGCTGCTTGGAAATGGAGTAGCTTTGAAATTAAAAAATAAAAATAAAGAAATGAAAAGAAGTAAATCGTTTCAGAATCCCAAATGTCCAAATGTCATATCCCCAAATTCAGTTCTTCCCCAGTTGGGTTCCGGAGAGAGGGGAACCAAACAGCAATGAGCCTTGTTGAATTGCATCACAATCCTAAGTATACCCACTATGGGCCTATTGATTTAAGAGTGGGTTTCAGGTGTGTGCAGGGGGCTGCCATGCGGGGAGGAGCTAGGAAAGCCCCATTGCATGAGTGGAGTTTTGCTCAGTTTTCTCTGTATGAAACCGTTAATCATTTATATCCTGTCTCTCACACCCAACCAAGATACACAAAATGGATTTTGTCTTATGGATGCTTTCTTGATTTTATTCTTCACCTCAAGAGCCCTCGGTGGCAGCATAGCCCATTGTGGGGTACCCACTGTACCAGGTTAAATAAAACAGATCAGCACGAACTACAATACAGTGGCGCAGACAGACTTTAAACGAGGAGCCCATCCAGCCCCTGGTTTCTTGTGACACAACATCCAAAGAGCAAGGCAACACATGGAAAACCGCTATGTTCAATTACAGATGCAAAATCTCAGCAGGATGTGTCCTAAACAACAGTATGAGAAAGATGTAGCAAAAGTAATAAAAAGAGGAACATGAAGGTGTGCTTTAATCAAGGGCTCAACCAAAAAATTAACAACTACCAGAGACAATCAAGTTGATGTTTAGCTTTTAGGTCTATTAGAAATGCATTGTGAATTCATGATGATGATGATGATGATGATGATGATGATACAAGGCATTTCAAATAGAAAATGCCCAAAGAGTTGAAAACATATGTACTGGCATAGCCGACAAAACTGTAACAGAACTGTAACTGGCTACTTACGGTCTACTGGAAGTCTCACATTATGGAAGTTGATGTTCTTGGCTAGAATCCAACTATTGGAGACTATGAAGAGCTGAACAAAAGCTGCAGCCAACATTTGACAGAGGAACGGCATGCTGTTTGTTGCACATCAAAGCATAAGGTTCTTATAACTGAGAGGAAGAAGGGGAGAAAGAATGTATCATTACCAAAAAAAGCCTGAGAACTGATTTTATGTCTGGCACACTCTGTACAATACGTTACTCACATCCACCTCTGCCAGCACTGTTAGTCCCAGCAATGGCCTAGGGGGCATACATGAATTAAAGGTGACATCAGCTCCACAAAGCTAAGCTGGCACTGCCTTCTGCTGGCCTGGTTGTAATGTACATCACAGCACTGCTACATATTACAGCAAAAGGCCATTCATAAGTGCAGCAGTTGTGATAGAGCAGAGGAGGGTAAGAAAAAAAATCCATTAACAAGCTTGAATGGATAAAATTAAGCTTTTTTAGAAAGAAAGATGAGTGCAGGTTGCAGTGGCCACTGGCAATCTGAACTATAGAAGAATACAGGCCTCGGCTTTATTTTTTAAAGAGGGTTTTCAAGACTCTGGTCAGAATCTACAACACTATGATTTCTAGGCTGTCCATTTTCTGCTGAATGCAAAACAAGTTCACACATCTTCATTACTGCATGCATTTAAAATATCTTAATTAACGCTTATCTATCTTTAACAGGTAACATGCATATTCAAAAAGCAGTTGCTCCAATAGAATTACCTACTTGCCTATTTTGCATCTCTCATCTTGCACAATGCCATCACATCAGCAAGTATCAATGCTCAGTTTGAAGGTATCAGAATTCCACACGCAGATCTGCAGATGCTAATGAGAAATAAAAAGGCATTCAGTGTGATTTCTCCCACTAAAGGTCACATTTAAAGAAAAAGTCTTCATGGATAAACATTAAAGAACTTTTCCAAGTCACAAAGACTCATTTACCAAAATGGGAGGGGGGATTTGATATTGGTTATATAAAGGACAAAAGAACTTAATAAGTGCAGTCATACCTTCAAACCAAGGATGGATTTAATCCAAAGGACTCTTGTCCCTCTCTCCCTGGAAATACTGGAAGTGGAACTACAGTCCTTCCACAGAATGTATCATCAATATCACAAAGCATTTTTGCCATGAATGACATGATTTACAACAGAATGCACATGTGTCAAAGCTTACAAGCATGCACACGATTAATGTTGTCATGCAGGAACATTGTTGGCGCTTCTGAATATTGCACAAACACAACATGGACGTGTCAGGTATTAGTGGACTAAAACCTGACAACTGCTATTCAGACAACTGGACAACTGCTATTCAGAATCACCACTAGATGGCATAAGATGAGATCTGAGTTTCCAAACCCCTTCTTGTACACTGGGATCTGAACTGCAGCCAGTTAAAGTGCTGGGAACCTTCCTGTGCTTCTTTTCTCATTCAACGTGCACAAGTCAAGTCAAGTTTCATTGGCTAAAAACCAATGGCCATTGCAAACATGTGAAGGTGACTGGGTATTACAGTTTATAATAGATTATTTCCAGAAGAATGTTCCATATTTAGCCGGCCAAATTAATCCCCAATTCTTCCTAGGACACACACAGTCTAGGGTATGATATGTTTATCTCCATCTGGTCGCCAAATGAATGAAACAATACCCATACAAACATCCCAACGCACCGGGCCATGTCCATACTTCAGGGTTTCTAACTTACCATGGTTTATTGGAAACTAGCTGTGTGCTGATTAATTGCTCCTGCTGAGCTCCTCCTTCCCTGGTGCACGTGAGAGAAACAAATCAGGAAATTGATACTAAACTTGGCTTTTTTGAGATGTCCTGGATTGTGCACTGTTGCTCCCTGGCAAACCAGAATTACTAGCCATAAAAGCATGGTTTGTTGACTAAAGATTCCTGGCTACTTAAGAGGAAGCAAACAATGAACTTGGGTCTGAACATCTTGCTTTGGATTTCCCTGTGCATGACAAGAGCACAGTAGAATATATCTGCTTATTCCTGATAAATCATGAGAGGAATTCAATGTTGCACTAATCATTCTATCAGTGCAAGCATTTTGGCTTGCCACACAGAATGATGCCCCCTCTCCTCCCCACCACCATGTGCTTTTCCATGGGTTCTTCTGATCTACCCCCAAGCCAATGTCAGCGGGCACAGGGGGAGGAGATGGGGGAAAGCCCCATTGCACAAGAAAAAGTTATTGCAAAGGGCTTCCGCTGACAGGACGCATTAGTTGAATCCTGCCCCATGGAAGCAATGCTGACTTACTGTGACGTGCAAACATGCCCAGAGAATATACTGTCACACAAAAACAAGTCCAATTTGTTAGCAAAGTTATTATGTTATAACTTTAGAATAATTCCAGCCACCAATACCAAGTAGAAAGTGCTTTTTCCCCCCCAAAGGATGCTGGTTTTCCTTGCTGCCAGGGGTGCCAACTTGAATAAAATATTGTGGGGGCCCAAGGTAAGCCCTGCCATGCATAATTGATCACATGATGCAGTGCACACACACAACTTTAATAGGACTGCCCATCAACTTTGTGGGGGTCCAGCCCCCTCAAATATTTTATTGTGGGAGCCGAAGCCCCCATGACCCCTAGGAGTTGGTTCCTATGTTTGCTGCAGACCAGTATAAGGAGGCACACACCGTTCTTTAAAAATACTATCTTCGATCTTGTCTGCTTAGAACCATGCATTCTTTTTGCTTTATTTCCATTTGAGTTGACAACTATTTATCCCTGATGCACAACTGAAGAGTGGTAACAGGAGTAGACTCACCCTTGAAATACAGTGGTACCTCCTTTTACGAACTTAATTCGTTCCATAAGTCCATTCTTACACTGAAAGCGTTCTTAAACGGAGGTGTGCTTTCCCCAAGTGAGGCTTCCCATTGCCAGTGCTGGTTTGTCTTCCATTCATCTTCCAGGGCAAAGCTCGCTAGCTGGAACACCTACTTCCAGTTTTGCGGAGTGCGTTGCCTGAATCGTTCATTAACAGGACTGTTCTTAGACCGAGGTATGATTGTACAGTGGACCCTCCGGATACGAATTAAATTCATTTCGGGGGTCCGTCCGCAACCCAAAAAGTTTGTAGGCAGAGGCGCACAGCAAAACTCAGAAGTATACACTTCCGGGTTTGCCGCGTTCGTAACCCGAAAGTTACGTATCCAGAGCAGTACGTAACTAGAGGGTCCACTGTATTCTAAAGCTTTGCCTAGCTTTGACCGTGCACAGTATTGCAACACAGAGAACTTTGTTTCTCCCAGTCCTTGAAACTATTGTTTCTGTTCTCTCTTTAAGTATCTCATTCTGTACTTTTCAAACTAGCCAAAGAATCTTGGGCCATAATATAGGGTATGTACACATTAGCAGCTTGGAGCCCAGCAAAGTCATTTTCCTCTGCTACATTTTAAGTCACTTCACCAATGCCCATTACCTCATTTGTTTCAGTGCATGAAACTCCAGTTCACTGAAGCTGTAATCTGCACATGCGCAATGACTGCCTGAACTGGTTTCCTATGGATTGTGGCTAGCGTCATGTGTACTCAGCTTCCACCACCAGTGGTGCAAGTGTGCTGGAGCTGAATTAAGTGGGAATATAGACAAAGCTTTATTTCTGAATAGCTCACTTAATGTTTGCTCTGTGAGGGTGGGGCACTGATACCCTTCAATGCAGGGCTTATCTGTCGCAGAAAAGCAACCAGCTTTTATGGGAGCAAGGCATGACACAGAGCTTCTGACAGCCAACACTCACCTTAAAACACAAAACTGCACCTGCACCACCAAACAAACATTTCACTTTAGACCTTGTTGCTTCAGTATGAGCCACTTTGAGGAAAACAAACAATGCAAGCTAAGACCAGCCTTCGCCTACCTGCTGCCCACAAGTTATTTTGGGTAGTAATTCTCAACAGCCCCAGCCAGCATAGATTTTCTCCACTCTGAAACATCCCTGTACAATTAAAAAAAACAAACAAACAAACTCATGGCATGTTTTTCTGCAATCCCAATCCCTCATCTAGGATGCCTACTATAAAGTGTCACTGGCCTGAACAAGCCTATTCTCTATTCTCTGCCTCCATCTTGTTATCTCCTTCCCTCCTTCTCAGACTAATGTCTTAACATTTTGTATATCCTGGAATCCCATGGGTCCTTGCTTGGTTGCTTAGAGTTTCTTAATATATATTTTTTCTGTTGATTTACAAACTTGCATACAACAGCACACCTGGGGTGTCCCCTGAGTATGTGGAAACCACTGACTTATTTTTGAGTGAGCCCATTTAGTTTCCAGACTGACTAATGCTTGACTGTCTGGGTTTACTGTCAGAGAAGTGATTCTCAAAACTCTCCTCAGCCCCTCAGATAGACCACTTGAAAAATGCTGAGAGCCTTGGTGGGACCACTAAATGATTTTTCTGCCTGTTGCAGCCACAGTTTGAGAACCCCTCTGAAAGGGAATTGCCTAAATTTGACCAAACTTTGGATGTAATATACTTTCCCTTCTTCATTTTTAAAAATAAAACAAAAACTAGGAACAGAAATCTGGAGAGCTCAATGATTTAACCCCTCCCCCCCCCCCGTGTGTGTACACTCAGGTGATGTTGTAATTACTCAGTTTTGGAATTGTCTATTTTTATCAGACATTTTCTGCCCTCCAAGCTAAATACTCTAATGTGGAATGTATAGCTATTTTTCCTCTACACATAGAGTTCTTAATTTAAATCTGCCCACCCCAGGTTACATATTAAAAGCCAGCCGAGTTAATAAATCCTTCGGTCAATAAAGTCTCTGTATCTCAAACATTTACACTGCCACTACCCCAAAGGGAACCAGCCTGGATATTTCCAGAGATTTCTGCCCACCATCCACGACTTCATTAATCAAATTGTTTTTGCACGGCAAATGGTGTGCAGCAGCCTGTGAAAGTATCTGCTACTACAATGCGAACTGAACAAATGCACTGTTTAGGGTTTGTTTTTTACCAGTTGTTCCTGGAAGCTATCGGTTTTTTGCAACTGAAAATTGTAACAATCCAAGCCATTTCAGCTGCTACTTGTAATTAAAAACCTAAATGGAGTCACCAACTGTGAAAAACTACAGAATTGTTTAAGTCTTGTAAAAGACTGATAAGAGCATAAAACAGAAGCAACTGGTGTTAATGTGTTGGAATGTAGTATTTCAACGTATGGTTTTTGTTTTTAATGAAACACAATCTCTTTATCATTACCTAATGCAATATATATCCCACCTTTTTTTTCCTTTTCTTTTTTCTTTTTTTCTTTAAAGGAGAAGATAAATAGTAGTGTGGTAAAGTAAAGGTAAAGGTACCCCTGCCCGTACGGGCCAGTCGTGTCCGACTCTAGGGTTGCGTGCTCATCTCGCTCTAGAGGCCGTGAGCCAGCACCGTCCGAAGACACTTCCGGGTCACGTGGCCAGCGTGACGAAGCTGCAGCTGGCGAGCCAGCACCAGCGCAGCACACGGAAACGCCGTTTACCTTCCCGCTATAAAGCGGTCCCTATTTATCTACTTGCACTTAAGAGTGCTTTCGAACTGCTAGGTGGGCAGGAGCTGGGACCGAACAACGGGAGCTCACCCCACCACGGGGATTCGAACCGCTGACCATACGATCGGCAAGTCCTAGGCACTGAGGTTTTACCCACAGCGCCACCCGCATCCCAGTAGTGTGGTACCTTAAAGATTAATTTATTTATTCTGGCACGAAACTTTACGAGTGACGTCCTGCTCCATTAAATATAAATAATATAAACTGAACAGAAGTGGAACCCATGTAGAGTTTTGGTACACTGAGATTACCCAAAATCAAGCCTTTCTATTGCTGTATGTTTTGTTTCTATGTACTGTTTCAGCATCAGAACATTTATGTCATGGGTGGAGAACTTGGGTTCCTCTAGATGTTGCCTGAACAATGGTCAAGGTTGATGGGAGTTGGGGATCCAACAATATCTGGAGGGCCACAAATTTTCCATCCTGCCTACATCCTTATCTTCCCCACCCCAGTTGTGTAAGCTCCACCAATCAGCTGATTGTTGGCAAAGTGCTGTACAACCAGCTGGTTGACAGTGCCTACAAAGCCCCTTTGTCGCAGCCACATCTTTCCTTCCCCATACCTGACGTCAGATGTAGGGCTGGTGGGTGTGGTCAAATGGGGGTGCTGTCTCTATGGGCTGGACATTTCCCATCCCTGCTATATGCCAAATTAGATCCCATACATTACTACACCTTATGTATGACTGAGAGAGCAAGGGGGAATGCAAGTACTTGAACCAAGATTTTGAATTTTTGATTCATATTAAACCAGATTAAAATTTAAATGAAGGGTTGAATGATTGACAGGGCATTTTGTTTTCCTAAGCACTATAAAACTACTTTATGTGTGGATAACAAGTGGATGCAAGTTTTCTCCCCTGCTTTCTTTACCATTTTAGGTGGCACACCTGTGCTTCAGAAAGGCGTCTTTGTTCTCTCTCATTCCACTGCTGTCCTCTCTCCCTTGCTTTTCTTTCTTCAAGCTTGTTCCCTTTTTAACTGCCTCTGGTTTCTCCTTTTGCAAAGAAACAATCCTTCAGGGTTGTGGGGGAGGCATCTAATATGGTTATGTCCAATAAAATATGGCAATCTTCCTCTCTATAACCAACATGCCATGCATCTCTGAATTGAACTGAACCCTGACGTTTCATTAACAGCTCATTCTTCAGACATTGGTGACTCAAAGGGGGAGGGGAAAAATGTGTGTAAACAGCTGCAGTTCAAGTTCACTTCTTTTTAAAGTATCACTCCCTTGTCTGCACTACAGCAGAGCCTCGTTTGGGTTAGGCATGTTTGTACTTACGCTTAACTGAAAGTCCAGTCTGATTCCCAGCTTCAAAGGAACACAGACTGCTGGTAAAGGACTGCAGGGCAGCATTTGCAATGAGCTCACTATACCTCCCAGGACTTCAGCACTGCAACCCACAGAGGCAGCATTCCCCTGCATGTGTCTGAAGGTTCCCTTTCTGACTGCACACTTTCCCACTGGGAGAGCCATTGAACATGTCCTTATCAGAACGCTCTCCTGCTCTCCGCTATCAGAAGACCAGTTCAACACTGATGGTAAAGAAAGAGTAAATCTTAACATGGTGTTGTAAAGCATGATTACAACTGTAAAGCAACCTGTGGTCTCTTGATGAAGGGCAGTATGTAAATTTAATAAATGATGACGACGATGCTTTGTGAAATAACAGGGACCAAGGGCTAAGAAGGGTTCCCAAAATGAGGGGTTCAGCATCCTGCTTCTCTTGACTAGCAACAGGATTGTGTAAAAAGGCAGTGACCTGCTTAAAAAAGCAGGAATTGAAAGAGAAGCCCCTCCTCTCTCCCTTGCTAAGTGCAATGTCTTCTCCCCTACCTGCACCTTCGAAGGAGCAGATCAATGGAAGAAGAGGCTCTGGCCTAGCAGTGTAGACAGAAGGCTGAGATACAACCTCCTTCTCTCTCTCTCTCTCTCTCTCTAGGTAAGGAGATTTAAGTGGGGGAGCGTTGGTATTGCTCCGACAGCATATAGGCCATTCTGCCACCTCAGGACTTTACACCTCCCTCATCTAATATACTGTGGTGGACAGGCAGACGGAAGGAGATACAGATGGTTTGGGTTCAGGGAAAGAGAGTCAGTGGTGGCGACAGAAAATGTGCTGAAGAAGGGGGGAGGCAAAGTACATTTCTGGGGCAGGCAAGCACTGTCCACCATGTTAAGATTTCTGAAAAAGAAACAACAGTGTATTTCACATTGGCATTCCCATCCATTCATGTCCCATTAACTTTGATGGACTTGACCAGTAGGTATGCTTAGGACTGCAGGCTTGTTTAATTTTATTATTAAACTGCAACTTGTATGGGAAGAGTGCCTTTCCTTCAAGCAATCACATACGTTGAGTAATTGGGAGACGGGAAGGGGCAAGACACTTGTCTAGTGGGGGATGCTTGGGTTTAGCTCCAAGAAAAGTGAGGCAGATTGTGTACTTCCTCTGAAGCTGATCCAATCCAACTACAAATAAACCAACTCACACCCAGGCATCAACCCGTGTGTATCAATGCTTCCTGCAGACCAACCTTTCCCCAACCTTGGGTCTCCATATACTGGGTCCCCGTCATTCCAAGCCACCACAGCTAATGATCATGGATGATGCAGGTTGTAGTCCATCAATATTTGATGACCTCGAGTTAGAGGAGGCTACTAGAGAACGTGGGATTTTGTAGAAAGTTTTATGGGATGTGTATGAAGGGCAGGTCATCTGAACATCACACTATTTTCTGCAAGGGTTGTCTGCACAATCCTGTCCTTGGTAGTTCACATGCAGTGTTGCACCCTCTAGTACCCCCACAAGCACTCATTTTTCTTGCTCTGTCATAATTCCACTGTATGTCCTCATTCAGCCTACTGTCTCCAGAGGCTTCATTAAGATTGATCTGATTAAAGGGAAACTAAACTAAATCAACAGATCAAATGAAGTAGGTTAATAAGAACTTCCTAAAAAGAGGGCAACATGCTTCATTTACTTCATGCCTGAAAACAAGGTAATAAAGTAGAGATGCCTCAAAGTAATATGTGTGTGTGTGTGTGTGTGTGTGTGTGTGTGTAGGTGTGTGTTCCCTCCAGTGTGGTATGCTGCACACTCATGTTAATAAAATGTACCTGGAGTTTTTACCTGCAACCTGCATACCTTTCACTCAGATATAAATCAGGAGCATGAAAAGGAAAGGAAGAGAAAAGCAGGTGGGGATACTACAGTGTCTCAAAACGATTAAAATTCCAGCTCTATGTGGTTCTGCACACAGTAATTCAGCACTGGTATTTGAAAAACTGATTCCTGATTTCAGCAAAAGCAACCTTAAATTAGGACGGTTTCAACAAGGTAATGCTTAGTGACGAAAAGGTAAGATAGATGAATAACCAGGAACAATCTTGATTAACCTACCTCTTGTCCACCCTGATAACATATGAGTAGGAATGGGCAAATCTTGCAATATCAGTTTCTCATTTTTCCAGTCTCAAGTTCAGTTCCCCACATTTTCACGAGAGTCTGAAAATTTTTATTTTTATTTTTAGAAAATCCTCACAAGAATTTATCAGGATTTTAGGTCACATTTCTCCTAATATGCATATTTTTTCAAGCACTTTCCCGTAATATATATGTTTTGGTATGCTATTTGAGCAATATAGGCATTGGTTTCTTCTTCTTATTCTTTTAATAAAACCCTTTTTATTTATCTTTCATATGCTGTATATAGGTAACTAATATCCAGTGCAGATAAGTAATGCAATGAGTATACAGAGGTAAATGACACAACAAGGATAAACTAATATGTATAAGCAGAAAATAACAACAGCAACAAACATTCCCTCCCTCACTGCATTTCTATACACATGCTCCCCTAATATACACACACTGAACATGTTATTTGGTTGGAGAGCCACACTGCAAAATTCAGAGTAGTGCACATTTTGAAGAATAGCTATGTTTCATGTTTGCACATTGTTTTGGGACATGCAAATTTGCATTAAAACGCAACTCCATCCCTTTATATAAGATATGAGTTTTGCAGTCATCATTAGGTTTTTGTATTTCTGTTATGTCCTGTGGCCAATATGAAAATAAAGCTAGGCAGGCAATATATCATGGTGGTGTCAAGTCCTGCTAATCTTAAACTTGAGGAGATGCTGAGTGTCTTTGCTGAGTAAAGGTTTCCTTGGTGTTTTATACCAGGCTTCCTCAACATCAGCCCTCTAGATGTTTTTGGCCTACAACGCCCATGATCCCTAGCTAGCAGGCCTAGTGGTCAGGGATGATGGGAATTGTAGTCTCAAAACATCTGGAGGGCCGAGGTTGAGGAAGCCTGTTCTATACAATAAAATGGACTAAATTCCTTGGGGCTTTGAGGCATCCCATGAAACTACTTCAGCACTATGATGTTGATTTGAGACAATACTTCAATATTAGCTGCCAATTACCCAGATGTTTATATTACACTTCAACAAGTCCAGATTTGCTTCAGAGTACAAAATTGTGCCGCGTCAGATAAGAAGACTGTGCAGGTTTATTTTATTTTTTGCACATATTATACATCACATCTGACATGGCATGAGACTGTGTGTTGAACGCAAAATGTAAAATAAGAATTATCTCATTAAATGAGTCAGCTCCTCTCATAAGTGCGATGTGGCCTTTTTAAAGCATACTTTTTAAAAACAGGGGCACTGAAGCTAAGGTTAGCATTCCACCATCGCAAAGATTTCTTTTTGCAAATCAGACTGTTCTCCCTCCTCCCCCATCCATTCTTCTGGGTTCCCCCCACAACTCTCCAGATGTGGGGATGGTGCAAAGCCACACAAAGGGGAGGTGAGGGGGGGAATCCGCTTGCACTAGCATGAGATGTTAGCTGAATACCATCTAAGAATGCTTAACATGTTTTTAAGGCTGCAAATTTATGCACATTTAATCCCACTGAACAGCAGGACAGAAGTATAACATACATGGATTTGTGCTAAGATAATGAGACTCTACAAATAGCGTTTTGTCTCTAGTTTTGCTAGTTTGTTCTAAAGTCTATGCCAGGGCTGGCCCACCCATGAGGCAAGGTCAGGCAAATGCCACAGGTGGCAGGATCTACAGAAGCAGCAAATCCTAATGCAACTCTTTATTTTCCCACCCCCTTGTTCCTGATGCAGATCCTCACTCCTTCTTCCCCGGAGGGAAAGAGAGGTGCCATTTTGTGGTTAGCCTCAGGTGCCAAAATGTCTTGGTCCAGCCAGGCCCGGTCTATCCTTTTACTAATTTAAACCCCAGTCTGCAACCGTGAGTAAAGACTCCCAAAGCTGCACATCTGGTAAAATTGGGGTGTGCTTTATACAAAAGATGACACAACAGAGCTGCACAGCAGCTGTGTTGAAAGAGTGTATATAATCATTCACAAAATTCTCCTGTGCTCCTAAAATCTTTTCTGCCAACTGTCAGCCTGAGGCAAATTTTTACAGGTGAGTTATAGCTTTCACTCTTGAAAACTGGGAGGGGTATATAATGGAGCTACTGACAAACCATCTTAATTACTACTGCTTTGAAAAATATGTTAGAAAGAAAGTCATAAAAGCCCCAAATCCAAACCCCCAAAAGAGATTAAATCAGTAAGAATTCCTTTGCTATGAAACTACCATATGGATATACAAAGGGAAATCTACATTATGCCCATAAATCAATAGATCCCTTTGATCTCTGTGTAACCTGATGAATTCTGTGCCCCTGATTTACACACCAGGTGGTGGCAGGCAATTGTCAATTGGCAACCAAAAAGCAAAAAGAGAGAAAAAGAAAAGAAAACAGCAGCCAGCAAGTTTATTGCGGACCAAAATGTTCACAATAGCCTTTGGAAATCAGGACGTCATTCTTCTTTTCTTGATGTGCACATATTGATCATGAACTGAATCATGGCGTTCAAATGCCACCAATAAAAAGCAACATTCTAATCTAGTTCAGGGCTTATATTGAGTCACAGAAACTACTGTGGCAAGAGTGAAAATTCAAGATTCATAAGCATTTGTCAAGGACAGAATACAGGCATAGAGCAAGTTTTGTTTGTTTTTTATGTCCATGTAAACCCCAGTCACAATTTGGCACCTTTTATTGAAGAGAGAGAAATTTATGCGCATGCTTTACCCTTCCAGTAAAATCAAGGAGACAGAAAAGTGCCAGACTCTGGGAGGGGTGTGATCCTATTGTTTCAAACACACACACACCCAACATGGGCAACTGTTAGAAGACTAAAACGATTGTACAAGCCCCTGTCATATACTAAACCCCTGCTGGCTTGCACAAAAAGAGCAGAGTAAAATTACTAGCACTTAAAGCAGGCTGAGCATTTAATTCTTGGTTATTAGGCATGTATAATTTCCTGCAATTTAGACACTGCTGCTGGATGCCTCTTTGATGTTCCATAGTTTTAAGGTTGAGGAAAGACCACCACTAGCAGTACCATCTCAGAAAACGTGGCTCCTTGTTCTTTCATTTGTACTTGTTTGCTCATAGCGCTGTGGGTGGAGGGGGAGAGGAAATCTCTTTTCTTTACATATTAAAATTGCTCTCAAGTATGCAGTTAGCAAAGCTTGTCCTAACAAATCAGTGGCCACACACATAAAGCAATCTCCTGGCTCCCAGGTACTCTGCACTCTGCAGCGTTAATGCTACCAACATATATTCCATTGTGCTAAGGAAGAATATCCAGCTGATGTTCTGCATAATGACTGTGCCCTTATGGTCTATTTACACTGTGATGCTGTCAGACAAGTCTTATTGGCTTCAGTCTAGCCAAGGTTAGTCCCATTGAGAACCATAGGACTTGAGTTAGTTGCAACTAGATTATTTATTTAATTTGCATACCACACTTCATCCAAAGAGCACAAGGCAGTTCACAACGTGCAAAAATACAAAATGAGAACACAAAATACATAACACAAAAACAAACTAATAACTCCCCTCCCACAAAAACATTTTAAAGGCCATAGAATGTTAATCAGCCAAAGGTCTGATTATGGAGAAATGTTCTGTTTGTATCATTGGTCAAGATGCAATGGGGACACTGAGTTTAACCACTTAGCTACCCAAGAGTATGTCATTTTGGGAATAACAGAAACCAGGGTGGAAATTGAACCTGGAAGCTTTCCAGAGGCTTAGCTATGCTAATCTCTGGTAGCAAAAGCAACGAAGAGTCTTGTGCCACCTTAAATAATAACAAATTTAGTGTGGCATATGCTTTTATGGACTAGACTTCACTTCCTCTGGTAAAGTACAGTGGTATCTTGGCTCTCGAACTTAATTCATTCTGGAAGTCCGTTCCAAAACCAAAGCATTCCAAAACCAAGGCGTGCTTTCCAACAGAAAGTAATGCAAAATGAATTAATCCGTTCCAGACTTTTAAAAACAACATCTAAAACAGCAATTTAACATGAATTTTACTACCTAAGGATACTATTAATCCATAAAATGAAATCAATAAACAATGTACTGCAGTCACACAATCAATCAGTAGGTGAACTGCATTCCACAGTCACAAAAGCAAAACAAAAAGAGCCACAAAAACACAAAATAAATAGCAAAATCAGACAGACCTCAGTGTAACACTCAAAACAGAAGTGTGGCACTCAAAACGGAAGCGTAACACTCAAAACGGAGGATGTTCAGCTTCCGAAAAAAGTTCGCAAACTGGAACACTTACTTCCGGATTTGCAATGTTTGGGCTCCAGGTTGTTTATAGTGCCAAGGCATTTGAGAACCGAGGTACCACTGTATCTATTTTCCTTGTTACTTATTCAAAGATATACAAAAGTTTATACCCAGTACAATGTTATCTTTTTATAATACTCCACTTCATCCAATGTAGAAAAACAAAACAAAGAAAACCTATGCCACATTCAATCTGTTAAATCCTTAAGGTGCACCCATGAACTCTTAGTTGAGATTTCCAGTTTTAGCTTGTAAATGTAAAGCAAAAGCAAAAGCAAAAGCAAAAGCAAAAGCATTTCAGGCCTCATGCTTGCTGTGTCATCTCCCTGCCTGAAACCCTGGAGAACCACTGCCAGCCAATGGAAACAATTCTTCTTCTTCTTCTTCTCCTTCTTCTTTGGTGATCACTCTTAGCCGAGTAAGATTGTCTTCCATAAACACGGTTTTAACAATGAGTCCATAAGTGACTGTGGAGGCCAATTCTAGATCCACATGTCCTTCCACAGTGGGGACATTGTTTTCCAGGCAGGAGTTGATCATGGTGTGGATTTGCCAAGTGTGCCTTCCTCTTAGCACGTTTCTCCCTTGTGTCCTGAGTTTGAGTGTCTTCAAAGTCCATGACACCTTTGGTAAAGGCTGTTCTCCAACTGGAGCGCTCGCAGGCCAGTGTTTCCCAGTTGTCAGTGTTATACTACATTTTTTTTAGATTTGCCTTGAGACATTCTTTAAGCCTCTTTTGTTGACCACTGGCATTACGCTTTCCATTTTTAAGTTTGGAATAGAGTAGTTGCTTTGGAAGATGATCATCAGGCATCCGCACAACATGACCAGTCCAATGAAGCTGATGTTGAAGAATCATTGCTTCAGTACTGGTGCTTCTTCCAGTACACCGATATTATGGAGACAATACTGGCTACACTTATTCTGCATCTGCGCCAATCCTGTACGTTCATCTAGGATTACCCGGGCAGGTATTATTTATGCCTAAAGCACATTCCAAGTGAGTTCTGTAACTCACTTTTCTCTACGGGCAACCATAAAAGGATAGGTTGCTCACTCCCCCAGAGTATGGTTATCACAGTATCAGGTCAGAGGTTAAATGCCCTAAATTATGTCGGTTCAGGTGAAGAATACAGCACTGCTTTGTAATGATTTTGCAAGAAGGGCTTGCAATTTTGCTTCTTAAGAGCAGAGGTGTTTGCTTGCTTTAGCCACTGCACAAAAGATAACAAGAGATAAGCATAAAGCTAGGAGCATAATAAAGCCGTGCAGATAACAGTACGTACTCTCAAAACAAACTCAACAATTAATAGCCAGTGGCAGGAACACTAATGTGATGGTGACAATGCAAATGCAAGAGAAATACTAAGCTTGGTTTACTGCTGTTCTACTGCTTTTGTAACATGTACTTGAAAACCGAGACCTGACAGGATAGGCAATGAAGTCAGATAGTAGCTGAGTATGCAAGTTTTTATGACCCAAACTGTGCAGGTCTGCAAGACATTTTTGGTAACAAAAGCGGCTTGGAAGATTGGGAGGACTGTTCACATATTAAACGCTACTTGAAGAGTGTCAAGCATTGGTTTCAATGTAACCAACTACCCAAAGTTGTTAAAGAAATATATTTCCGCTGTTAAGTAGTTGTATCCTCTTGGAAAACTTTGACTAAAATGGAAAATTTATTGAAATTTGCTGCTATTGTTTAATGAATTAGTTAGCTGCCCTTCACCATAAGATCCAAGAGTGGATTAAAAAATTTAAAAGTGCACTGTTTTAAAAAGTTTAACAGAAAGTACAGTTGCAAGACTGGAGGTGGATCATAAAAATATAGATCTTAAGTACCGGGGTAAGGAGACTGATAGAATTTCAGGGATTCACCTCATTATACCTGTCACACAGAATTCATGAGATGTCTTCTACTGAGAAAAATAAGCTTTAGTATGTGTGTATGCCAGCATTCTACCTCCCTTTACTGTCAGAGGCAATTGTTTAGAATCTAAGATCCCTCCCCCACCTCAGTTCAAACACTTATCCACACCTGGACCCCCTTTTTTCTTACTACCCAATGTCTAGATTCCAGAGTCTTCCATATGTGTTCGTGTATTGTGTATAAGCACTTCTTGTAATGGAGGAGAGGGGAATAGCCTTTGCAGTCAGGAAGGCATATCTTCATAGTTCCTCTTGGCATGACTGACCCAAGTTTTTGCAATCAGTGGTAGCTTCCGGTCAAGATGGTGGCAGGCTGGACTTCCGGGTTAGCGCCATCGCCGAATGGCGGACTCCCTCCGAGCTCCGGAGGGAGTCTGCTCGGCAGGGGCTGGGTCCTACCGCGCCGGCGACGCGGGGACCCTTAAAAACCACGGGCACGGAGTCCGTGGACATGGGTGACTCGGCTTGCACCATTAGCGCCCTCCCGACTCGTGAAGGAGCCTTTTTAAAGGCTTCGGATCGGGTGCCGGGGAGTGGCGTGGTGCTAATGGTGCAAGCCGAGCGCAGCCGCATGCCATTCGACGGAGAGCGCTGACTTCTTCTATTGAAAATTTGGACTATTAACAACAACCCGTGAGTAATTGGGAAACCGGGTTCAAAATTTTGGATTTGGCACGAGCGGGGCGATTTAAAAGGAAGTCAATCCCCCTATTGTAAGCATTCCAAAACAAGGACTGGGTAACCAAGGTCCAAAGGGAAGTATGTCTCTGATAAAAATCATTAATTTCACGATGGGAAATTATAAGAAATGTGCTGGAGGAGAAGAGTGGAGGGTGAGAAGAAAAATGCAACCCCCCCCCCTGGGAACCGGGCGATTCGTGGAGCCTGGTGAAGAGAGACGGAGACTTTGACAGCTGTCAAAGTGGCTGTCAAAGCTGGAGAATATAAAGAGGACTTTATGAGGACCTTGCTGGTTAATTTTGCTACAATTTGCTATAATATGGATATAAACTGTTGGAAAATAAGCAACAATTTGACTTTTGGATTAGAGGATACAAAGTTATTACAATCCCCTAGAGGGGTTTCAGGATACTACAAGAACGGTCGTAAGTGGAAAAATACCCTGGGATTCGCACAGGATTTGTTATCTTCTGGGAAAGCTGCAAAACTGAAAGAGTATTTTGTCTACAGAGGAAGACAATGGAATTTTTTATTGAAGAAAGAAAGGGACTGGACGTAAGTTTTTGTTCCTGAATAACAAACCTCTGCAGAGACACTAGATTTTTGAATTAGAAAGTTTTAGCAGCTGAACAGGACAAGAAACCTGAGAAAGTGAGGAATAAGAAGAATAAAGGACTGATTACGACACGGAAAGAACAACGGGAGGAGTGGTAAAGATCAAGGAAATTAAAGGCCTTTGTTAGATTGGACATTTGAAGTCAAATATTATTTAAAGTAATAAACTAAAAGAAAACCGGCAAGATGGAATCGGGGAGAAATCTGGTCACGAAATGAGACTTCCAAGCTGATAATGTATAGACTGATGGACATGGGGAATTCAAACCGGGGAAGGGGGGGGGGAGATTTGAAATCCAAAGGCTGTGTAACCATTTTTTGAATTTTTCTATATCTCTTATTTTCTATTTCTTTACATAACTTACGCATGTTATTTTACTTTGATCGGACGTGTTTAAAAAAAGGGAATTTGTGGAAGGAACTGGGGTGGATCTTGGGAAAATCTTTTTCTTTTTCTGATAATGATGTGGGACGGTGGTAAGATTTGTACAATTCAATTTGGATAGTGGGTTAAACAAATTAAGCTTTAAATTTGGGAGTGAGAGCTTGTAGAACCAAATTAAGGAAAGGGGAATACAATTGGGGGGGGGGGAGTTCCAGAAAGTAGGGAATGAACGTAGGGTTTTTAAATATCTTCTTTCTTTTGTCTTTTTTCTTTGTACTTTTATATTTTTGGAAACTTTAATAAATATGATTTAAAAAAAAAAAAAAAAGATGGTGGCAGGCTAGGCAGTCAGCTCCAGCGCTCCACAGATTTTAATTGAGTTTTAACTCTAGCCCTAATATGCACAATATGTATTTTACAGACAGGCATAAAACCGTTTGCAGCATATACTCCTTCTAATGCCTTCTTTCACCATTTCAAGGCTAAGCAGAAGCTACTTGAGAAGCCAACCGCATGCCACAGTGGAAGCATGTCAGCACAAAGTAGCTGAGAAAGGCATGCCACGGGACTGACCCCACAAGGTCTTTCTGGGAAAGAAAAGTGATAAAATGTATTCCCACCTTATTCACAAGTAGCTCTCCCATTAGTAAGCAAAGATTCCAGCCCTTGGCTTGCAACATACAGCTCCAGGGCACCAAAGATGCCAAAAGTGGAACATTCTGGAAGACCACAGTAGCAAGATTTATTTCGAGTTGTTAAATCATGATGAGCAAAAGGGTGATTTTCCAAACCAGGAAATGAGATAACTACTAGTTTGACAATAAGTTAAGTTCATTAAGTTCAACATAGAATATTCATCCATATTTTATTTTCTTTGTTGCCTCAGGTTAGCTAATATCACAATGCTTCCTGGATGTTTAATTCACCCCGTCAGCCCTCCCTGTCAATACTCAAAGGTCTGCAATCCGGCCATTTCAGTTTCAACCAGCGTTTCTTGTTTAACTTTGCACATAGTACAGAAGATTTACCACCTGCCAAATGCTATCTATTGAAAACAAAGCAAAGGTAAATTTGTCAAGCTGAGTTAGATAGACATTGTTTGAATTTCCATTTATTACTCCTCTTAGCTCATGGTAGAAATTAGTTCAAATATCCCTCATAGGATTAGCAACAGTGGGTACCATAGGGAGCACAGAATTAACATGAGGAGTCCAATGTGTGCACTAGATTGGCTGCACACAGCTCAAGGTTTAGAATTTTATGGAAATACTTGATCATGTGACTTCAGAGAATAATGTAGAAAATACCTGATGGGTTGGTCACAAAATATAACTAATGGCTTGCCCACTCCAGAGCAAAATGTGGATTTGCACACTGCCTGTCAGGCCCTCAGGCTACTTAAGCCACTTCCTTCTCCATAAGCTACAGCCCTCAATAGCCCTGCTTTGTACTCCTCAAGTATTTTTGGTTGGTTGGAATGTGTCGCTGAACTCTGATAATGCCTCTTATTTGTCCAGATGTAAGTGTATGTAGAAACTAGCTGACTATACAAAGGCACATCTTCACATGATTTTCAGTTTCACTGCTGGAAAAGCTGCCATCCTGGCTTGCACAATGCTCTGTTGTGTTCAGTGCAAATTCTCTCTAGTAGCTGCATCTAATAGTGTCTAAGCCTTAGTGGAAATTGCTTCCACTTGTCAAAGAAAGTTTTATAAGAGTAGAAAACTGAATTCGCTGTAGTTTTACTGAAGACAGGAAGGGGTAAAAATAATCCATGTAGATTAACAGCCTTGGTTTAGTGAGAAGCATATTAAGATAGTCAAGTAACAGATAACTTTTGACACATAGCCACATAGCCAAAATAATGATAAGGACAAGAATTTTGGGAACTGTTTGCTATACTTCCACACTATCCCTCCCACACTCGGAGGCACCTTAATCACCCTGCAGTCTTCATCCCATATCTCCCTTTGATAAGAGAGAGGGAGAAGAATGTCTAGGAGGCATTCCTTCTGTACCAGTGATGGGCCACTTGGAAGAGACAAGAGAATGCTACAGCAGCAACTTTCCTGGTGTGATTAGAAAGCACCACAGGAGAAACCAGAAGTGCAAACTGCTGCTGCACAAGAGAGTGCTGCTGAACAACCGCCATTCATTCCATTGAGACAAGCAGTTTGTAAACTATCTTCAGAACCATGCCAAAGAAAACTTAGAGAAGAGACATGGGGGCTTCTGCCCCCCTTAAACCAGGCATAGGCAAACTCTGGCCCTCCAGATGTTTGAGACTACAATTCCCATCATCCCTACCCACTGGTCCTGTTAGCTAAGGATGATGGGAATTGTAGTCCCAAACATTTGGAGGGCCAGAGTTTGCCTATGCCCGCAACTGTCATATAGCATTACAAGGCATAAAGACTGATACATACTTGGCTCCTGTGCACATTATGCCTCTCCTCATGTGTACTGCAGCATCTCTTTGGCTTTGTGTTTTCTACTCAGACGTTCCACTGCACTGGGTGTGTTTAGGATTGCAAACTTCCTTGCTCTTTGAAGAGTTTAAGGCACATGAGATGTTTAAATGCCTAGATGAGTAGGTCCCATTTGTGTGATCCATCAATTATAGAAAAGGGGTGCAGATCACACAGAAATTGCTTGCTTAGGTACTTAACATGTGTAGTCCCTGGGTTCACTGCACAATAGTGTAATGCTCCCATGCCTGCTGTGTGTATACAGAACAAGGCCTTACGTGACCCATACATCAGTCTGGTTCTACCATGAAAACTATTGTTGACATTTATCAGTATCATTAATTAGGAGCCCCTTTTGGAATTTTTTGTGTGAAAAGGAAGATGAACACACAATATTTGGGTTTAAAGATTGGGACAACACTGGATTAGGAAAAGTGGAATAGTTGGATGTTACCGTGGAACGAATGTTTGAATAATTATTTTTATGTAACTGACAGATGAAGAATCATAAGTCCTTTCTTTCTTTTTACTTTGTATCATAGAAAAGCTTTAATAAAAAAAATTATGGGAAAAATCTGGTTCTACTGTGGAGTGTATGTGGGAGAGGTGCCTTTTTAAAAATGTTAATGACTTCATTTAGATACCTAGAGCCACTCTGATTTATGTACAAGAGTCTGCTCAGTAGATTGGTTAACCAAACTAATCAATATACCTAAGCAAAGTAAAAATTAATTATGTTGCCCTTTGCTCATTTCCACACACAATTATCTTCCAGGATGAAAAATGAGTCCTTATCTGGCTTAGCATTACATGTGAACCAGTGCTCACGGCTTGCTTCTCTCAAACTAACAAGCGGCAAGCCAAGAACAAACCTTGGCTTCCATTTATTGGAATATTGGAGAGAAACATATACTGAGCCCTGGTTCTCACACTCAATGCTAAGCCAAGGCTAGCATAGCAGAGCAGCTCCTAGCAGAGCAGAGCAGCACTAGCACACTGCTTTTTTTTTTTTTTTTTACAGGAAGCTATAAATCACGGCACACCATGATGTGCAAACCAGCCCTGTATACAGGGATTGGGAAGTGAAAGGATGCACTGAATATATATCAGGCTTTTAAGAAAAGTCTTGTAGACCTTTGAGTAAATGATCCTTAGGAGTGACCAAACAGGTACCATGCCTTGTTATTAGTTTAATTTGAAGGACTGCTGCTATAACCCAGTTTCTAGCTTACCCTTGTCTTTAGTTTCCTGAACACAGATGGTGATGATGTCCACTGAATCAGAACATGAACATAATAGCTATACTCTTCCTATGCCCCCCCAAAAAAGATCAGCATCTCCAGTAATAAATAATTAGTTGGAAGTTTGCCCAATGCCTTAATTTCTTTAATGTTATATGCAAGAGTGATCCTTCTTATTTTAATTAACTGTCCCATATTTCCATGTGCTCCTTCTGAAACATCCTCTTGAAACACTGTTCTGAAAGGTTTGCCTAACAGGGAGCATTTAATAATAATAAAAAAAAGGTCCACGTGGTGTTTCAGGGTTTGCTAGATAATAGAAAACTCAACAGTGTGTGTTTTTAGTCCTATCTTTATTGACAAAAGCATGCCTGCTGGCAGGATGGTCCACTTAAGAGTGTAGTACTTTGCTCTGAAAAATGCTGAACACAAGTTTCGAGGGCTTTGCTATCTTGACAAATTCCACCCCTGCTAGGAAACAGCCAAGCAGCAATGGCCATGTTGTACGACTGGGGCACAATTCCTCATTATTCTACAATTCCCCAAGAGGCCCAACTCTTTCTTTCTCCACATGACAGCACTCCGGCACAATTATCCTTTCTTGTACCTTTCCCAATTCATCATAAAGTGAACTTGCTATGTGCCAGACCAGTGATACACTTTAATACAGCCTTCAAAGAATCCCAGGGTGAATAAAGTATATACCCTGCCACTCTCACACATTGGCCACTGCTTTATTTTCAACTGGGGACTAATGGCTGCTTAGGTCCCATGAATCTTCGATTTCCCCTTAATTTCCAGGTTTCTTATGTTGTATTTCCAGACTTCCAGAATGCCTTAATAGCTGCTTTCCTTGGGTCTGTGTTCCACACAGCAGACTCTCGGTCAAATGTTCAGCAGTCAGCCAGTTGGCTTGCAGTATTAGAGGTGAATTCAGTATTGGGCTATTACCTGCAGAATTTCTATCTCTGTCATGGCTGATGTTCAGCAAAGAGAGGAATGCACTCTGGGACTGAGCATCTCAGACCCTCCAAGTGTCCCTATTTTCCAGGGACAGTCTCAGATTTATAGAAGCTGTCCTGGTTTCTGATTTGATCCCAGAATGCCCCGCTTTTCCTTAGGACGTCCCTATTTCATTGGGGAAATGTTGGAGGGTATGGTGGGATGTTCCTATTGGCATTATGTGATTTGTTTAACATTTAATGTTTTATTATGTTTCTATACATGTTGGAAGCTGCCCAGAGTAGCTGGGACAACCAGTCAGATGGGTGGGGTATAAATAAAAATTGTTGTTGTTGTTGTTGTTGTTGTTGAATAGAGTGTCTCTGTTTTCATTGGAGAAATGTTGGAGGCTATGGGATCTGGTCACCAACATCAGGGTTCACCCAGATCAGCTGTTCTACATGTCTCTGGCAGCCCATGTCACGTTCATTTGGTTCCCTGGAGCAGGATAGAAGCCTAAAAAGTCAATAGAATCTCTCCTCTCTCCCTCTCTCTCATATATATAAACAGTTTATTTGAAAATGCTGCATTAATGGGCTCATGCTGAATAAGGGAATGGAACGGAGGAAGGGGGAAGGGGGAAGGGGACATGCCAGCAACCCATACATGCAATAGCACCTGTCACCACTTAACCCAGAGTTCTCTTGACAGCGCTTTAAGAGTATGTTTGCATAAAATCTCTAAACACTACTGTAACATTATTACAAGGAAAGGTAGGAACTGGGTCAACCATAATGAGATGGCAGATTTCTTCTTCTGGTCCCTGGAAGTTAGCAAAGCCAGGCCAAGTTTCTAGCTCAGCCCCTCCAACAACAAACGGTCTTTGTGCACACCTGACAGAAAACGAGACGCCTGCATTCTAGTGTTAATAGGTCCAACAGAAATGATAAAGGTATCAGTGCCTGCATTCCCTGAGAAATCCTGGGCTTTGTTCACTCACGGTGGCAGCCATCCAGAGGCACAGTGACTGCAGCACTGTTCTCCAATCATTTCTAAGTCTCTCTGCTAGCATTAGAAAAACTGTTGAGGGCAGGAGCAGGGAGAGAAAGTTTCCAAGTTAGAAAAGAAATTGCCTTGGGTGGGGGGAATAATAATAATAATGCAATATTTATAATACCAGGGACACTGAACTAATTAAGCTGAGGCTGGCTTAATTATGTCAAATTATAGACATTGCAGAGGGTTGCAGCTGTGCAGGTTTCCCAAAATGACACACCACCCAGCACTATTTGTTGACATAATTGTGCCTCTAAACACTAAGGCAGAACAAACACTCATTTATATTTAAATTATATCCAGGTTTGCTGCTTTCTGTCATCCCTCTTTCATCTCAAATGTGGCACAAACTTGCCACGCACACAGTGCTTAACCCCCATTCTTCTACAATCCCCCCGGAAACAACGACAGCAAGAGGCAGAAGCAGAGAGAACTGTGAACCAGTCATCTGCCTGCAAGTTTATGAAAATTCCAAGAACTCAAAACCATATTTGTCTAGCGGCGCCTGTTGAATGCTGCCAGTGCCACCTAGCCTAAGAGAACCATGCATTCCAAACAGCAAACTCACACTGCAACCCCATGCAATGCACTCAGAGGTCTGAACTGGCTGTCAATTTGCAACTGGGCTGAGTTCAAGGTGTTGCTATTAGTAGATAAAGCCATTAACAACTTGGGGCCAACATGCCTATGAGATCGCCTTACCCCATTAGATGTGTCCACTTGACCACCTTTGATAGGCAGAATTTGAACTTTTACAGGTGCCACTTAATACCCACACCCAGCTCTATTTTTCTAGAAAAAGAGGTGGCGGAACTCACCATGAACGCCTCCTTTGTTCTCTTATAATGGCAATGGTGCACATCTGAGACGTGCCAAGCAGGATTGCAGTCAAAATGAGACCACTGAGAAAGAAGACCAGGGTGTCAGCACGCTTAGGGTAACCCAAGGGTTTGCAGAATCTCACATTAAAACTTTAGGAACAAAATCCTATGCCGCAATCCCCTAAAAATAGCTCAATGAGGCTGAGCTTTCTCACTGGCAATGTAGTGGTGAAGGTTGGGGGTAGAAAACTATAAATGGAATGGAGTGAAATTATATCATAATTGACATTAGTTTCTTCTTCAAATGAGCCCTTTTATTGTCTGGCTGATACATATTTATCAATTCCTAAATGCTTTCAGTTCTACCAAATAGTTAACCAATGCATGCAAAAAGTATATGGTATTAAAACAGTTGTTTTCAGCAAATGCTAAAAGTCGTCAAAATGAAAAGGCAGTTACTAAATGGATTTATAATAAAAGAGATTAAGAGATAAAGAGATAAAGAGGACAGGTCATCAAGCCAGGCTCAGCAGCCTATATCCGGGGCTGTCATGTAGCTCAAAATTCTGCAAACATATATGAAGAGCTGGTAGACAGTGAGAGGTAAAGAATGTTAACGTTTTGAGTAAAACCGTGTAGCTAGTTTCGAGACAAACCTGCCTTTGAAACTCAAAACAGTTCTACAATTCAGGCTCAGAACATCTGCAAAGGAGCTGAATGTTGCATTTCAAATATGTATGAATTATTCATCAAGTAAAAGATGCACTTCCAAAAGGTGAGAGAGATCATTTGCAAACATAGGCACAGGTTTATATGGCAGGTGGCTGGCAGTGAAGTCGTTTTCACACAGAGCACACTGATGCATGACCTAGTGATGGAGCGGAGCATGAAGAAACTGAGTTAAGGAGGGCGATGGAATTTTAGAAATGGAAAGCTTGTGCTGAGAGGTTCGTGTTAGAAGCACTTAAACTGAAAGCAATTCCCTCCAAGGATCTTACCTGCCCAATGCCACCTGTTAACAATCAAGAGGTAGTAGAGGACCCTCTCTGATTCACTCAGGATGAGTACTCCATGCTTGTTTATCTCCTCATCGCATTAAAAAGGCAAGGCAAGAGAGTAGGCTAATCTGATTTCATTATACTGCCTCTGACATGAATTCTCAGAGTCGGCTTTGGAAATATGAAAACATTCCTCTTCCGTGCACCCCCGTCTAACTTGGTGGCTTATAATCATCTATCCAAACTTATTGGACTGAGAAGCTTCTTTCCCCCTGTATCTTCTTTCGACAGCAGTGCCAACCTTTGCTGCCACAAAGCATTTTTTTTAAATACGTTCTCAACATTACTGCTACTTACATATATGGTTTTCATCTCAAAACCAATAGGTTTCTGTTGCCTGCTGTTGCTGGACTCTATACCTGCTCCCTCTTTTGCTCAGCTACCTGCATCTCTCTGTTGTCTGTTAGCACGAGAGTATTTGGTAACTTTCCATGGATGTAGAGAAATGTTGCAGCGGCAGAAGGCAGAGCCAGTGTAACATCTTTAACAGCCTGCCTTCCAAAATAAAGTTGGGAGGCCTATATATATATAGATGTTCACATCTCAGTGAAGGTTTTGGGGAATTTGGTAACTAGAAGCCTCTCCCATCAAAGGAGCAGTTTAGCAGCAGGCATAATAGAGACTCCAGAGAGCAAGATCCAGTTACAGAAATCAAGCTACAAAAGGCAACAAAAACAGTATTCATGTTTCTTTGTGGGGGGAGGGAGAAGCACAGAGGATTGGTATTTACAGGCAGGAGAAAATCAACACAAAGACATGCAAGGCATGGCTTCTGCTTGTTTGTTAAGGGTGGAAGTAGCACGCTAAAAGAACCGTAGGGTCCAGAGCCATGGTAAAAACTCTGGAACACCGAGGGCATTGCCCTGACAGCACACACAATTTACTATTCAATATATTTAAAAAATGCAATGATGTGATTCATAGCTTTCCATACAGGAATGAATGTGAAAATCAACTCATATGAAAGAGCAGGGCCGGTCGAAGACATTTAGGCACCTGAGGCAAACCACAAAATGGCACCCCACTCTCCACCAGGGGAAAGGGGTGAGGGAAGATAGTCATCAGGTGAATAAAGATGTACATCGGGGTCTGCTGCCCCTGTGGATCCCGCTGCCTCAACTTGCCTCATGGGTGGGCCGGTGTGCAATGGTCTTTTATGAAGATATCCTGCTGTGTGCACACAGCAAGGGATGTGTTTGCTGCAATCCGATAATCAATTGTTACTATTGACAAGAGATTGCTAAAAATCCTTACAGAGACACAATGACTCATTTTAGCTAACTAGGGTATTTTTTAACAGTTGAAACATTTTTGTACTTTTAACTTTTTTTACTGTAATTTTAACTCCTAACGTGTTTTCTGTATTTTGTGAACTTTTTTTGGAAGCTAATTTGACTTGATTGTAGGAATAACACCAGGTTGAATTCAACACTGTGCTCTTCCAGTTGTTCCATCTGTGCAAACGTTTCAGGTTGCCAGGTGGAATGACTCCCCACCACTCTACCTACTGCACACTGTTCTGGGAGCCCTCCCAACCTCCATAGGGCCAATTTTGGGGGCATGCCTCTCTAATAATACTCAACATGACTGTTTCCTCACTAGTTCTCCCTCCCTAGACCTACCATTGCCTTCTTCATCATGTTGCCCACCTCAAGTGGGGGCTCCTATTTGCCTTCCTCCTCCAGTCAGATCCTTGCTATTTTCCCCTTCAGTTATGACCTCTAATGCAGCAGAACACAAATTCACGAGAAACATCTCTCATTCAATTCTAGGTCCCTTCACTTTTCTTAAACATCCAAGTTCTATCATGGGCCACAGTTTGACCTTGCTCATCTACCCAATTGCTTGAGTACCATAAGTAAGATAACCTGGTGGCCTTGAGATTTTTCATCTTCGCCAGCAACTACCTTCCCCGGCCTGGTGCCTTCCAGATGCTACCAGACTGCAATTCCCATGGTCAGGAATAATTAGAATTGTGATCTGGAGGTGGCCAGTCTGAGGAACACGGGCCTACAGGATGTCATGCATGTTTGAGTCATACCAGTGTAAAGCACACACCCAACACCACTTAACTTGGATGACCTTCAAATCACCACGAGCCCTGCAATTTTATAATTCCAGTTTTTGAGCTTCTGTGGTTAGGGTGGCAGTGATGAGAGAAGAATGAGAAGGTAATGACTATCCATCTAACTTTTATTTAATTGAAGTGAAGGTTATTGTGCCTAGCCTTGACTGGTGGCAGAGAGCCAAAACCTTGGTAACAAAGCTAGTGGTTCATCTTTCATTCTGAAGCTTAGTCAATGTGTTAACCACACACAAAGGGGTATAGGGGTGGGGAACCACAGGAGATTAGCTCAAGATAGTGCTCCAAGGTTCATACACATTCATGCCAAAAAAGATAGCTGTGATGGACTCTCAAAATGTCCTGGAGTTTCTGCCTCGCAGGTTCTTGACTTTGTCTCTTGCTGTGTGTCTTCTGCTAATATTGGATTAATATTGTAAATATGTCCATTATTTAATATCACCTTTTTGAACCTGCCTTCACTGGTAGGTAATGTGCTGAGGAATAGGGACCTTCCCTATAGCAGTGCCAAGGGATGGACAGACTAGTCCATGTTACTTTCACATGTGTTCATTCATAAGTCTATTCAATCTCAATTCCACATTAAAATTACAAATTAAAAAAAATAAATCCCCCCAAATTGCATTTAAATAATATTTGTTTTACTGTATTTTATCCCTAAATATGCATTTCTAAATGCATTTTGGCACTTTTACAAGCTGAGAACAGCATACCAAAATCTGGAGAAGAGCAAAATCTGATAAGGATAATGGACTGCACATTACTGTGGGAACTGCAAATCAGGTAAGTTCAAATCAGAAACCACCAAGATCAAATTACTCAAACAACCATAGTGATGGCTTGATTAGGACATTCCTTTCCAGACATATATATATATATATATATATATATATATATATATATATATATTTCTGTATCACCTTTATTTTGTAGAAGCCAGGCTATATTCCTTCCCTGTCCCCACCTTGGCCCAGGCTTTTAGTGGATGGTGGGTTTTGTTCTCTCTGATGCTCTTCTTTACACTGGCTTTTCAGCGGTTTTTCTCGTTTTTTATGCAGCTTTTTGTGACTTTCCTAAACCAAAGTTCCTTCCAAAGCAGTAGACACCCCCCTCCCATTGTACCAGTTCAGCTGGCAGCTTGGGCCTCATATTTTGGGAACGGACTAATCCTGATTTATTTATTTTTAAGTTCTGCAAGTAGAAAGCTGAGCCGCACCACCTTATTCTGCTGCATGTGCACACCGGTCCTTAGATAATCCTTCAAGGGACTTACTATCTACACTATGAATCTGAAATGGTCAGTCATGGCATTCTCCCAGGAACCCTGCAGAGCCGCCATTCTGGGAGGCGGGGGAAGGAGCACCTACTGTAGAATGTGCCCTGTGATTGTAAGCCAAAAAGTTGCTGTCTTATCAAGGTACACAAAGATGTGTTTATGGAGGTTAGGTTGCTATGGATGGCTGGACTGGAAGAAATAAAACAGAAACCAGGGAAATAAGCATGAAATAGTATGAAACATGATCAGATGATTTGCTTTTGTCTGAGCTGTTGCATGCTGAGGAGATCAAAACGCAGGAAACCCACATTAATAGATGGCATGCCACATACATCTCAGGCAAAGAGAAAGATTTATTTGCTCAGTGCGAGTGTTTAGAATGCCATTATAACTGCAGCCTCAAGGAACTGCCCTTGCATGTCAGATACATAGTTGGTCTTTGTGCTGCAGGAAATGAACACCCGCAGGAAATGAATACGCTGCCAAAGCCACTTCAGTTAAAACCTATTTGGGAAATCCAGGAGGTTCTCTAAGTCACTGATCACAGTACCATGACAGGTTAACCGGTGCAGCACAAGAAACCAGGATGAGTCACAGTGCAACAAGTGTGTTAGAGCTTTAATAAAAATCAGAATACTTCACCGAACGTATGCATTTGCAGAATTTATTGTCATTCCCAGAACCCCACAACTCCGATACAAGCCTTTGCTTAGGTACGAAATATTGATCATGACGGAATCGCACAATATTTGTTGCGTTACGAAACGTTGATCATGATGGAATGACATAACATTTGTTGTGGCAGGATAAGCTGTCACCTTCCACGAAGCATTGGCTGCATCCACCTGAGCCTCATACCTTTCCATAACAACTCTCTTATAAAAAGACCTATTGCAGATGATGATTTCCACATTTGAGATTAAGGAATCATTGGCTACTGGAACAGGAAACTTGACATTTATCCCAGTCAAAATAATTAAGCAGGTTCACCAGCTGGGACACACAATGTTCAAGTTCAGGCAACGCCAACAACTCCCATCTCACATCTTCAGAAACATGCAAATGGAGTATGAGATTGCACCTTCTAGTTATAGCCACCAGTCTGTTAGCTGCGGCTTTTGCATCAGTCTGAATGAGATGTATGTGCGTAAGGCTCTTCCATGCAAAGGAGAATCCTGATTGTCCCAGGATCCCACACCTGTGTTGATTTCCTTTCAATCTGACACCATTGTTTGGTCAGCAGATGACAAAGCCAGGGCCAGTGTGGGGTTGTTTTTAATCAAAATAATAACAACAATGAAGTGTTCGTAGTCATATATTGACAGAAGTGTCATAGGTGCCAGCACAAAATAGGCAGCAAAAGGGGGGGGGGGTATTGGTGCTCTTTACTGCCACACACACAAAAAGTCCTGGCCCAAGAAACAGGTCAACTTACAAAATATAAGGCCAGCAGTCACCATCTCTCACTTTCTTTCCAACCCATTATAACATGAATTCCTCATGTAAAAAAAAAAAAAGCACCTTAATCCAAAACTTAGAGCTGGGGGCTGCCCAACATGAGCCAAAGGCTTCAGAAATGCTATCAGATCCAAACCATATGTAATTAAGCTGCACAAGAACTTCCATCTCTGTCTACTGGAGGTCTTTTCTGCATCTTACATAATCACACTTAGATTTACATATAAATATTTATCCTGGTACATAAATTTAGTTGTGTGTTCTTTGAGCTATTTTTGCTGTAGGCCTATTCACACAAATTACAGATATTACAAACATTTCTGAAAGGGTTTCCTCAAAACCACTTTGAAGATGCGGCTGTCTCTACACCCAATAAATACATATTACACTGAGAACATATGACCCGGCTTTTTCTTGAGTGATAAATTAACTCAGGTAGACATTATGGTTTTACAGGCACTGCAGTGCTTGTTTGGTAGGGGTTTTCCCTGCTCTTTGTGTGTCAGATCCCAGCTCTTTGACTATAGCTCTTTGACTAGCTGCCATTTTGAGAGGCAATCCTTGCTTTCATCCTCTTGTTGCTACTGTTGTTACTCTCTGCCACACCCACCATCATGCTGAGTACTAAAATCTCTTCTGTTGTGATTTGGACAGACAAGGCCCATTCATGGTAATGCTGGTTTCATGCCAAATTTCCCCTGTATGAAAATGAATGATTTTCCCCCTGGAGCATACTTGAGTTGGCACGAAGCCAAAGGATACGAACCCAAACACACAGAGAAACACACTAACAATGAGATTCACAAACAAAAAGTCAGCTTCCAAACGAGTAGTCACGCAAGTCTGTTTCAGCAAAAACAACAAAGTCCTATACCACTTAAAAGACTAACAAATGCACTGAACGAATATTGCTGATAATGTTTTGTTAGGTGGCAGTTTGCCCATCTTCATTCTATACTTTCTTTTGTTTATACTTAATAAACATTTGTTATTTTCCTGTCAAAACAGAACAAGAGACTGGCATAATTATGACATAAACTACGTCTAAACACCACAGTTGTTCAGTTCTATTCTCAGGACAGTTGACAAAATGAATAAAACCAGTGCTTTTTTCCTGGGGGGAAGCAGGGGTAGAAGCAGAAGAAGAAGAGTTTGGATTTGATATCCCGCCTTTCACTCCCTTTCAGGAGTCTCAAAGCGGCTAACATTCTCCTTTCCCTTCCTCCCCCGCAACAGACACTCTGTGAGGTGAGTGGGGCTGAGAGACTTCAAAGAAGTGTGACTGGCCCAAGGTCACCCAGCAGCTGCGTGTGGAGGAGCAGGGATGCGAACCCGGTTCCCCAGATTACGAGACCACCGCTCTTAACCACTACACCACACTGGCTCTTCATGTACCCCTAGACATTTTGTGAATCTAACGAGAGAGGATTTTTAAAAAATTCGTTTCTTCTCTAGCACGGTGAATTGTCAGTTCCGTTGCTACCTCCAATGGCGGCCTCATTTCCTGTCACAGTGTTTCCTGAGTCTCAGACAGAAGCGAGGGTTTAATGTGTGAAGTAGGAGTTGGTGTATGTAAATCCATGGTTTTTGAAAGGACAAAATCTGGCGATGAACACCAACAGCAAGCAGAGGAATCGGGAAGACGCTAGTGCACACAAACTCATGCCAATGTGGAAGTTACTGTGATGGTCAGCTGTGTAATATGAGGTAATGCATGTTATTTGTACTTTTGTCCATTCACTGCATTTATTTTTCCTGATTTGAACTATAAAATGATTATTTTCTTGAGTCAAAATGAGAGTACCCCTAAACGTTTTTTTAGAAAAAAAGCACTGAATAAAACAATTGAAATGGAAGCTGAAAGGATAAAAGATAAGATAAGTGAAAAGGTAAACAGGTGGAAAATGAAGCAAGATCCACACCCAGATCCCTAACACTGGTGGGCCACCTTAGTTAAACAGAGATGTTATAACGAAAAGCCTCTTAAATTAAATCAATGAGTACTGAAGAGGTAGGAGAAGCTGACAAACGGGTGCCTTCTGGTGAAGCCAAAAAGGTGACTCCTTTTTGTGGACTTGAGTCCAGTTGATTAGATCCGTGAGGTGTTGCCATCAGCTGGCAGGAATATATATATATACCTGTGGGTCTAAAACTATTCACAAAATGCAGTAGTTAAGTTATACACAGCACAGTCAGCTAAACTGTGTCTTTATATAGCAGCCACTTAATTTTTGTATACAAATTCCTGTCAACTTGGAATTTGGCCCATCAAAATCCTTACCAGCCCTAGGGCCAGGCTGCCATAGCATATATTTTCACAGTGATTTTTTTTTATTATTATTGTGGCAGCATGGCCTTTGCGTAATGTAGTGCCATCCAGCTCTCATTTACATCACGGAATCACAGGGGACAGCAGGAGCTGTATGTTGAAAACAGAGGCAGCAAATGACCACATAACAAGTACAGCAGCAGGAAGCAACCATATAATACATACAGAGATAGCTATTTCAGGAATGTCGAAGGCCTTGTGCGTGCCTGGTAGCTTTTGAATTCTGCTCTCTGAACATCAACGTGCACATGCATGCATGTACAGGCATGCATTTGAAGGAGCATTTCAAATTAGTTTTCAAAGAGCTCGTAATTTCAGAAGAAGTTAGCCATAACAGTACTCATGTGGGGAGTGCAGAATTATCAAAAGGTACATGTGACAGCAGTTGAGCCACGTCTGCAAACCCAGGTCACTGCAGAACAGCAATGGGCTGAATAAGCAAGTTCTAGTGGAAAACCAGACAATAGGTTGAAGCTCCTGAACCCCTTTTTTTACCCATCTCTTCCTCTCCCCCAGCCATCTCCACTTTCCATTCTCATCGTGCTCCTCAAACCACCCTTCCCCTGCTGTTAGGTATGACTGGAGGGTCAAAGACATAACTCTGCCCCAATTAATGTGAAATTCTTATTTGTGTATTAAATTTATATTCCACACTTCCTCCCAAAGGAGCCCAGGGCAGCAAACAAACCAGTCATGAAATAATGCAATTAAAAATATACAAAAACAATTAAAAGGTTATAAAAAAAACAAAAATTATCTCAGCAGCATAGTTTTTCAGAATGTGGCTAACCTAGGCATGCATCTGGCACCACAAGAATACAACAGTACAAACAACAAAACATAATTATTATGGCATAAGCTTTTGTGGACTAGACTGAAGTGTACTTCATCAGATGCAAGAGGTGTTATCCTTCAGCTGACCTGGTCTAAGGTGCTACAAGACGTTTAGTAGTTTTTGCTCCAACAAGCCTACGATGGAAAACAGATCATCACAGTGGGCCACAGCTGCCCACATGATATACGGCCAAATGGAAAGTCCTAAAAATGTGAGATTGGAAAAGATGATCTTGTATGTAAATATACAAGCAACAACAGTGCTTCAATGCATTCTATTCTTAAAGCAGAATGGCAAAATATAGCAGGAGGACTTCAACGTAGCACTGTGGCAATCTTTCAATCAGTGCAAGCTTTTCGGCTTGCCAGATGGAACAATCCCTCCTCCTCCTCTTCATCTCCTGTGCCCTGTTCTGGGTTTTTCCTCAACCTCCACCCAATTCTGGGGGGCTTGGGTTAAGGAGAAGGAAGGAAATCCTCCCACAGGCTTATGCTAGCAGGACAAACAGTTGAATCCCGACCAGTGCTTTACTGTTTGCATGATACAGTATTTGGATAAGGAATTAAGAAACATGTGTCACCATCACAATCTGTTTGTTTTAAATAGTAACTCTCATGATACATTAAATATTTTGCAGGAATCTAGACATGCCATTTATTTCGGCTTGTTCTATCCTTCCTGCAGTAATAGCAAGAGGGCTTCACATAGCTGAATGATAGTGAGCCAAGAGCCCATTTATATAAGACAAGATTACAGCATATCAGTTGCTGAATATATCTTGCTATCTGCTTTTCAGCCGCAACAAGTTGTAAATCCTAATAAAGAATTCACCACAGACACGTGAAAAATAAGAGAGGGAAGAAAAGGACAAGGCTGCAGTCAACACAAACAAAGCACAGAAACAGGATCTAATTAAAATGAGGTTGGGATCTTATCTTTTAAAAGTGGTTAACCACATCAAACGCTGGATATGAATGCACTTAGAATTTAAAACTATTTTTTTGCAGATAAAGTCATTTCCAGAGATATTGAGGCAAATGCTGTTGTTAAAAGCAAAGTAATAGATATGCAAAGAGTGGAAGTGTTGTGCACCCATACTAACAGAAACCTATCTAAGAAAAAGAACCACATTACACCTGCTTTGAGTGACTGTTCCAATGGGTAAGCACCAAGACAAACTAAACATCAGATAAAAATAATTTATCATGCAGCTGAATCGTATTTATTTATCTGGAGCATTTTTATGCTGCTCTGTAACCAAATAAGGCACCCAGAGCTGTTTACAAATCTCAGTGGATAACAGAGTTCCTTCCCTCAAGTTTACAATCTAAAAATTACATGACATAAAAGGAAAAATGATTGGGAGGGAGGAGGGGAAAATAAAACATGGCAATCCTGAAATTTGTCTAATCCTCTTTCAAAGACATCCAATTTGGTGGCCATCACTACAGCTTTCAAATAGCTCACTGTTTGAAACATTCAAACGCATTCAGGTAGCCGAGCAATGCCTAAGCTCTTTTTTTATATATATAAAACAAACAAACACAGTTCCCACTGGTCCCCAACAGACACATAGGTTAAAAGGATACAGCCCAGGATATAGTGCAAGGGTGGGGAACCTGCTAGATATAGTTGGATTAAAACTCCCATCAGCCCCCGCCAGCATTGCCAATGAGATTATGAGAGGTCTGTTCACCCTTCTGGGGTGGGCAGCTTTGAGGATGGGCCCTGAGCTGCTCTTGTGAACAGTGAGAGGCCGGATCGTCTCCCTGTCGCCAAACTAACCAAATTGACCAATGGCGGCAAGGCCTTTGGGACGTTCCCTTGGGTGTGGCATCAACTGCCCAATGGCGGCACTTGGCTCCATGCCCAGGACAAGCATAAAACGCAGCCTGCCAGGCCATTTGTATCTGGAGAGACATAATTTCACTGCTCGTGGTGTAGTGTCACAGGTAAAGAGCAGGTATACCATCCAAACATTCCACGATGAGAATGAAAACCACTCCATTATCCTCTCATCAGATGATCAATCTAGAAAAACAGGGCAATGTTTTATCTCTGTGTGTGTGTTGCATGCCCATGTGATGTGTGCATTTATCCTGGTGTGTTTGCAATATGTGTGGTATGTGCCAGCACCTGCCAGGGATGGGTTGGCCACATCCACTTTCTGAGCACACTGGCTTGCAGCCCACAAACCTGGTGGAGATGCAGCCCTCAGGGCCATAAATATAGGCCACCCCTGTTAGAGCCAATTGCCAGACAGAGCAAGATATAAGCAAGTAGAAGGATGCTTTGATTTGATTGTTTTGTCTCATTCAACAGATTTAATTTTTGTAGAATATCTCAAAAGTTAGCAAGAAGACTATTTTCATGCTCCCTCTTATTAGTATCACAGGCAAGACTCATTCTGGTTTGCCTATGCAAGTTGAAGCAGGAACACATGCAATGTGACAATCAAAGGGCTCGCCTACCCTTCAAGTAGTTCTTAATGGTTTCATACGGCCAACTGTAGACAGCTTTTGTTTGAAGTGCTGCAAACCCTAATGCTCCTGCAAGGCAAGGCCAAAACTAGGCATTATTTCACCCAGGTCAAAGATCTGGTTTGGCACACACACACCCCACACATGTGCGCACACACACACACAGGCTGGGAGCCTCAATGGCACTGCTCTGGAGGCTTCACTAGTGGCAAAAAATCTGGCTAGCCCACCCCCAACCCCGTAGCTACAGCTCTGCTGCAAAGGACCTAACCAAAGTCAAATTACCAGGATGTTGCTAACATTGGTGTCAGGTATGAGTCCTGGATGCAGCAGCACAAACTGACATAAATATCCTCATAGCTTAGAGTTGCAAATTTAAGGAAATAAGAGATGCAGTTTGATAAAAGACACACACTGCCACAGTTGCACAGAAAAAGACTCAACAAGCATTTGCTTAATAATTATAATAGTACTGATAACAATAACAATAATAATAACAATAATAATTTTAGATTGTGCCTTGTTTTCTTTGTGTGTCATTCTTTTTTTATTAATTTTATTATGGCTAGGGAGTCTCAAAAACTTGAACCAGTCCAGGGCTCTCTGGACCTCTGAGAGGGCCTGAACTAAGAAGTGGATCCTGCAACTGTTCTCATACACAGCTGAACATCAGAGATGTACACAGTCTGCAAGGATGCAGTTGCTCCATGAGCCACATTTTCTTTTTGAAGTAGTAGGAGCAGGTGCCACCTTCTATGACAGAAGAACCACCCACAGTCCAGGAACGAGTCTTACTATGCTCCCCTCTGTGGCAAAATTGAGGCTTCTCTGTAGTGACCTCCTCACTCCGTTTGCAGTCACACATCTCCCAGGGTCTTCCCTCGCCCCTTTAGCAGATTGGGGGCTGCATTTATTGCCTTTTAACTTCTGCACGACTGTTTTGACATTTGTAACTATGGTGACAACAGGCTTTGCTTAAAATGGCTTACCAGGAGGTGCATGTTTCGTTTACCTCAGAGGAATTTATAATCAAACATGAAATTACCCGTTACAGGAGCTGGCGAGGTAAACTGGAAAGCATCCATTGTATGGCCCGATCAAATTTCTGCCCCAACCTTGCTCCCAGTTTTGGCCAACAAGTCACGTCTCTCACCTTGACATACCAGCTCATTCATTTTGTCAAACTAATGAAGTAGAAAACCTGGCTCACTTGACACTTCCCCCAACCCCAAACCCCCCCCCCCCCAGTATCCGGCTGCACAATAATTATTAGCCACCCAACCTGGTTCTTTCATAGAGGAACTGGAAGGTCATGTCACCTCCACCTCAAGGGTATGAGATGTCAAGCTCATGCCATTCTAAATTCCCCTTGTTCTCAAGCGATTGGGGGGGGTCCATTTGTCTTTGCCAGTATTTAGAAAATCGTAAGGGTAGATAGTCATATTTGGAGTTTAAAAAATTCAGTTGTCTTATTCAAGAAAGAACAGTGTTTACTATTTCTTTATTTAATATCAAAGATTTATAAGCCACCTTTTTCAGAGCAAAACCCTCACGGGGCAGCTTACATCAACACCAAAACAGACAATGGGTCACTGCAGTCCATAGAGAGCATTACACCTTATATCTTCTTTCCACATGAATTTAGCTTGACTAAAGCATTGCCCAGCCTTCTGTGTCTTGTGTTCCAGCAAGGGCCCAGGCAGACAAGAGACATTTCTGTCTTTAAAGCCAACATTCAGGCCAACTCAAACCATAACCTCAAGTTTTCTTGACCAGAACTTGTTTTCATACCATTTCACTGCTTCTGGGATTATCAGCTTCACCATGCAGATTAGATTTGCACCTCCTCTCTCCAAAAATGTACTGAGGGGGGAAAATGAAACCTACATCAGGAGCTTCAATGCAACATGTTTGGTCCTTAACGTCTACAGCAGGCTTCCTCAACCTCAGCCCTCCAGATTTTTTTGAGACTACAGTTCCCAGCATCCCTGACCACTGGGTCCTGCTAGCTAGGGATCATGGGAGGTGCAGGCCAAAAACATCTGGAAGGCTGAGGTTGAGGAAGGCTGGTCTACAGTAACATTTACAGGATCAGGCTTCTAATTTAGGATATTGTCTCTGCTAAAGCTGTTCTCCATACCAGCAAAATAATAATTAACCTAAATACATGCTCCATGGAATGCCACATGGATAAGTTTTCCTTAATTCAGTGGGTGGAGATGAAAAGGTGGTTTCATCAGTACCAGCAGATACTCCTCCCTCCAAGTTGTCCCTGCCCCAAGCAAGTTATTACAAATAGGAATGGTATTCTCCTGTAGGTAGACAGGGCAACTAATCCAAATGATGAGAAGTATTTCCTGGGAACAGAAAACAAGTGGGACGTATGAGTCATCTAGAAAGGGCAGTTTGGGAATCTTCTCTGAAATATACAGAAGTTTTATTCAAGCCTACAAGGTTTAAAACTACTGTGTTGGGCCTTGAATCACTGCATAGGACCACACTCTCTACTCCAGATATATACTTCTAGGAATTATTGTGAGACTTCTCGCAAGCAGTTCTGAGACATCACAATGCCTTTGCATTTTCCTACTTCTCCTCTGAAAATACTTCACCTCAACAGCACAGAAACAGCCATGGCAATTTCAGCAATTTAGAACAATCAATACGATACAATACAATAATCTTTATTGTCATTGTCCCATACAGAACAATGAAATTGAAAAAATCTGCATCACAATACTGTATTGTTTATTATAAAGCTTTATATGCATTTTGCCAAATAAATATAAATAAAATGATTAAGATGGGGGTTGAGGCTAGCAATCAGCAAAATGTCACCAGATCCAGCATAAAATCAAAGCCGCACAGTGCTCTGCCTGAAATTACTACCACATTTCCATGCACTGGTAAAAACCCTAAATCAGATGCAAAGAATAGCAAACCCAAAGGCCTGGGTTGGCCTGCCAAATTTTACCTGGATTGGCCTGCTATCTCCCAACGTAGCGGTGCCTTTACTGAAATAAAAAGCATGCAGGCACAAGTGAGGAAGGAGTGATTTCATCCCTATCATGGCGATGGGTTGGATGGAGAGGTTTACTGGGCATGTAAGAATGTGGGTGGCCCCAGTCACAGTGGGCCATGCCCATCATGGGCTTATAGCCCCTAGAAAGCTGTTCATGGGTGAATGTGGTCCTCAGGGCAAAAATATAGATATTCCTCACCCTGCGCTAAATGAAAAACTTTTGCTGCTATTATCCCGCTCTGATGAAAAGCAGGGTGAGCTTCAGGCTAGATGTAAAAACAAGAAAAAGTGTACGCAAGGTTCCAGCTTAGCTCTAAAACCACAGAACTCTTTGCAAAAAACAAACTTAGGTGGAGCCCTATACAGTATAGTAGCAGCAGTTGATTTCCAATTGTTGGCCCCATCTGCACGGGAAGGCATTTATTTGATTAAAGGGTCCCAGCCCTCTCCAGCACTTCCACCAGATGAGCCTAATGAGACCTGCCCATTTATGTTGTGAACTGCCCTGAGATCTAAGGGTATAGGGTGTTATACAAATTTTAATCATCATCATCATCCTACCATGAAGGAGTAGGACAGCCTCTAGTTTCACACTAGGTCTTCTGCAATGAAGTCATATGGTAGAAGTGCTACTGCAGCTAGCCTTGTGTGTGCTTCCTCTTCTGGTTAAGAGTCCTCAACCTCATCACCTGAAAAAGGGGCTCAGACTCCTAGTCCCAGATACCAGAGCACACAGAACCCACTACCCATAATGAAGATAGCACACTGGCCCTCAACGGACAATCTATGCAGCAAACAAAGCTGCAGAGACTGGGTAGGGAGAAGTGGAGAGTCCACTTCCAACCAAAGCACTATCAGAAATAATGATAAGAACAGGCTAATAGAGCAGCTGGGAGGTCTCATGGGTCCAGCTTAATTGGCAGGTTTCACATCATGCTTTCAGACCCACAGTTCAGAAGGACATGCCCTCCTTCTGGAATTCCGGAATTCCAGAAAACATTACAGGTGGATGCAACATTGCAGACACACTCATGGAAGAAGAAAAAGAGGAGGTAATTACCCAAAATCAGGACAAATCTGCACCCAGTTATTGCCTGAGAAACTTTCCCACATATCCACTGTTATACCAGCACAAACAACACTGGGGCATCTCTGCAAATTGGTACAGAGTTACATGGCTTGCACTTCATGATCTTCCAAAGAACATGGGGTACTAAACAGCAAGTGAGCTACGTCTTAAGCTATGTCTATAACTGAGCTGAGAAAAACTTTGGGCATGTTAGGAAATGTTAGCATCAGACAAACAACCAGACTCTTTTGAGCTTTAGAATAATGTACTCTCAGATCCTTTGTAAGGCTTTTCAGGCATGGCTGTAAATGGTTGCAAAGTCTTTCTTAGGGTTTACCATAATGGTAACTTTCACCATCACCTTTGAAGTTGGGAAGCAATTAAGGGAAAGGCTCAGTGGGAGAGCAGAGCATACACTTTGCATGAGGAAAGTTCAATATTTGGCATCTCCAGGTATGCCTGGGAGAGTATCGTATCTGAAACCCTGCAGAGCAGCTTCTCTACAGTCAGTATGGACAACACTAAGCTATATGGACCAATGGCCTGACTCTTATATAGAGATATAAGACAGTTTCCTATGTTCCCAACAGTAACTTTTGTCATCTGTTTGATTCCAGACTGCAATAAATCTGCAAAGGAGTAGAAAGCATTCAAATTTCTGCACCTGCTCTAAGCAAGCCCTTCATTCTTTCCAGTGAAGCTTTGTGGCTCATGCTTTACCAACATTGCCTGGGGAAGTTATTGCTACAGTTTTTTTTATTATTATCTTTTAGCACGAACCTTTTAGTCCCTGACAGCAGAATTTAGGCATCCTCCAGAAAGATTATACTCTGCATTCAGGCATATAGTTGTTAACAAATACTTTAGTTGTGAACTTCCAGTAGCTTATTGCTAGGTTACCTTAAGAACTGCTTGTCAGTTGGCAGATGAATTCAGATAACACCCATTTGTCTAAAAGGGAGTAATTGTTCACTCAGGTGTTGGGTGGCTCTGTCCTCCTCATTTATCCTATTCTCCTTCACAATAAGCATTCGCTTCTTGGTTCCCAATCTACACTTCATTTTGAAGGAAACTCTTTTAAGGTACATTCAGATGTGGAGAATATTACATTAGTTTTCTTGATTATAATGCAAGTGCTTCTGTGCTGTTTTCTAATGTTCTTTTTGCACTGCAGTACCTGTTGCATTGGGACGCGGGTGGCGCTGTGGTTTAAACCACTGTGCCGCTTGGACTTGCCAATCGGAAGGTCAGCGGTTCGAGACCCCGTGATGGGGTGAACTGCTGTTGTTCGGTCCCAGCTCCTGCCAACCTAGCAGTTCGAAAGCACACAGTGCAAGTAGATAAATAGGTAGTGCTCTGATGGGAAGGTAAACAGCGTTTCCATGCGCTGCTCTGGTTTCGCCAGAAGCAGCTTATTCACGTTGGCCACATGACCTGGAAAAACTGTCTGCAGAAGCGGACAAACACCAGCTCCCTCAGCCTGTAAAGTGAGATGAGCGCCGCAACCCCAGAGTTGTTCGCGACTGGACTTAATTGTCAGGGGTCCTTTAACCTTTATCTTTACTTGTTGCATTATGGTACTGTGACTTTTTTACTGATCAAGTCATGCAAAATTTCATTCACATTAATGGAATGTGTGTGTGTTTTACACAAAAATGAATGTCACTGGACATTCTCCAACCTTCCTGCACATGCATGATTCCTGCACATGCATATTCCCCCATGAAAACTGCAGGGGGAAAACTGCATGTCAGTATAATACCCCAAATTTCATCTCTTTACTCTAGTGGTTTTCTAGGTTAATAGCACTGAGAATGGGGTTCCCCGCACCCCACCCCACCCCGGAAGCAATTAACATGGAAATGAGCACTAAACTTCCACTAGATTCCACATGACCTTATGTTATGTGAAAGCTCAAATATATAATGTGGAAGCAAACAGGGAAACTGCCATGCAAATGCAAATGCAGCCTTAGTTTATGCAAAGAAAGCATTAATGTATTGAAGCTCTGTTTAAGAAGCTCTTAAACTTAAAGCTTTTGGAATTACTAGTTTTTCTGTGTACATACTAAGATGAGCTTGGCGGACAAACCACAGGAGCATGCCCTGCAGGAAATGCTTTATTAACTCCTGCATTAGTTGCACTGCAGATGTGGTTTTTGAGTTTTTATATTGTAAAGTGATCTTCAAGTGGTGTAGAAATTTAATAAATGAATGCAACAAATTTTAAAATTGAAGCTGTCAAATCAAAAACCTACAATACCAGTTGCGTTAAAAGAGCTAGGGATCTGGATAACTCACCCTTCATAAAGTTTATATCTGATCATTGTACTCTTTACTACATTTCAGAACATACTTCTATGTCCATCAGACTGATAAAGGTATTCATATCCTTCATCTATACTGGTTGGTGTAGAATTAGCAGTCTGCTCTGAAACTCAACTAGCTACTTTCCAAGGCAGGTTCAAGACCAAAGTCCTCTGTGTGGTCTGCTACCGGAGAAATGTTGCAACATTTCCAAGGGCCACACATTTTCAGAATAAACATTACAGTTCCTTGCCTCCAAAGTAAGCTTTCAGGGGACTTAAAGGTAAGACAGAACTTCACTGATTACTCTTCGCATGACACTATTAACCGAATCCAGGCTCTCAACTGATGTCAATCACTGTTAATCCACCACAAAAGAACTGAACAACATTAATCCTAATTTACGGAGGCACTCTCTATTATGTTTTTATGACAGGCTTACCAATTACAGCAATTGTAGGTAAACCATTATATTAAAACCCTGGATAAAAGGAAAGGTGTATTGCTCCTACAATGGGTTTCACTTTTCAGACTAATTTAGAAGCGAACCAAATATGTTATGTATATGTGTGCGCACAGGGAGTACACAAAAGGCTTTAAAGAGAATTTTCTTGCATCCAATTATTTTCATGTTTATTTTTAAAATGAGGAACATTTCACATCTTACCCAGAGGCAAACCAGAGTTTGCCACCAAGCAAGCATCCAGTAAGAAATGACAGCCCAACGCCTTGAGCCATATGGTAGACATTTGCAAACTTGGGTCTGTATACTTTTCACACAGTATTTTAAGGTGTAAGACAAGACACGTACAACTTTAAAATATAATTTAAGTGTTGGGCCCTTAGATTCACCGAGGACTTAAAAAGAATGGTGCAGCGGGCTGCAGCCTTAGAATATCATTTGATTAAAAATGTAAACTTTTTCATACTTGTTCCAAGTTGTACAGGCCAAAAACACTTTCAGGCAATAATATATATATTTTTTCAGAGTAAGTTTCATGAAGAGGATACCTTTAGTTATAATGATTTCTTTAAAAAATGACGTGGCCACCTCTTTATATCACGGTTTCTTCTACACAACACAATGAAGCTGGAAGTATAACACAGAGAGCATGAGTATCGCAGTCACAACCATATGGCTCCACCATAGCCAAGCCAATTAAAATCCAGGTGACTTCACAGTGTCACTATTTACCTTCTATATATTACTTGCCTATTTTATATGAATGATCAGACTTTAATAGTTTTGGCTAACCCAAGCATCATCTTCATAGGCAATTTTGTCCAGAGATGCTGCCAAGCAGAAATCATGAGCCAACACTGCCTCTACACACCCAGTGACAACACTGTTTGTTAGGTGAAAGAGTGTTTTGTAAGAAGCCAATCCACAAGCTAACATGTGCCTCATAGACAAGAAAGCTTTAAACCAGGGGTCAGCAAACTTTTTCAGCAGGGGCCCAGTCCACTGTCCTTCTTGTGGAGGGCTGGACTATATTTGGGGGGGGGGATGATGCAAGAGCACCACGAGCCCTGATGCTGCTTACCTGTGTCTTGCGAGTGGCAGGGGCTAGCGGCAGCAGCAGCAGGACGATGAGTGGCGCACGAAAGGGCTCCAGAGAGGGGCTGCTTAAAATGGCGGCCACTAGAGCGCTGCTGCTGCTCGCACCAATAAAGCCCAGCCCCCTTCCTCCTCTAGGCAGGGCGGGGAGAAGCCAGGACGAGGGAGGGAGGAGGCGCTGCCGCTGTGGGAGGGAGAGGGAAAGAACACGAACGCTGGCGATCTGTGTGGTGACTCCAGGACCATCCACGGGCCAGATCCAGAAGGCAATTGGGGCTGATCCGGCCCGTGGGCCTTAGTTTGCCTACCCATGCTTTAAACATTGACAATATTTGAGTGTTTCAGTTGGGCCTCTTATAATTGTGTCATCGAATAACATGCACATGGCATCTTGCTTGGTTTTTAAATGTGTACCTTGATAAATAGTAGTCATCTGAAATACACAGAAAGGAAGAAGCAGTCCCATGCATTGCCTGCACAGCAAGTATGGGGAACGTCTGTGCCTCCAGAACTACAACTCCCATCATCCCTTGCTAGGGCTGACAGGAGCTGTAGTTCAGCAACATCTGGAGCACCAAAGGTTCCCCACTTCTGCTCTGGAGTGTAGACCTTCTGGGATGCTTACTTCAAAAACCACCAACAAGTCGCAGAGGAAAACCAGGACATGCGTCTTTCGGGACTGTGGAAGTCATGTGACTTACTCATCCAAAAGAACTAAGGCAGTGGCTATTTTCAAGCTTGCACAAGTCAATTATTCACATATTACTGAAGAATGGAAGCAGTAATGCTTTTGAACACCTGTTGCTGGAAACCACAGAAGGGGAGAGTGGTGGGCTAGATGAGTGACTGGCCTAATCCAGCAGGCTTTTCAAATGTCCTTAATATTTTCTCCCAGTTCATAAAGTGCCTTGCACTCTTTTAACACAGCTTTCTTTTACAAATTCCTGAAAGCAACAATAGCAATAACCTTTATGGCATCTGGTCCCTTGGCAGAGGATTGAAATAATCAGAAGCGGTCCAAGGATCAGCACACTAGGCAGGGCTCATCTGACATAAGCTGATCACCAGATTTACTTCACTCTAGTTGTTAACATGACATGGATATAGCACAACACAGCCATTATTGGGGATACAGCTCTAGCAAAGCTGTGCTAATGAGTACCATCTGGGAAACCTCCATCATCCTGGCAACTCCAAGGGGAATGCCACCAAAACTAGGTGCAAAAGAAAAACCTGCATAGAGTTGTGATGCATGGAAATATCACCAGCATTGTAATTAAAGAAGCAAAAGGATGGAAACAGAACACAAAAGGGAAAAGTGGTTCCTCTCATTCTCTCTAACGCGGAAGATAACAATGTCCCTAAATTGTAGAGGTGCCTGTGTGCAAAACACAGATCTGAATGATTCACAGTGCAATCCATGTGTAATGCCTCACTGTGTTAATGAGGCTACTTACAAGTAAATGGGTATAGGATTGTAGTCTCTTTAGGCACCTCAACACAGAAAAGGAACAAGACTCCTTTTAACAGGTATCTTGCAATTGCACCTCAACATCTTTCATTTTCCTAGCACAGTGGCCCGTTTCCTACTCTGTCGTAAGTACATACATGGTTGCAAGGTATACATTAGATTCAAAGAATCTGTCTTTCATCCTTTGTTATCTGTCATATGATTAAATATTTGCTTTTACACAGCATGCAAGGCCTTTTAAAAAAAGATCCTTACCAGTGAATAACACATTCTGATCAAGTCTTACATCTAGCTGACAGGGAAATACCTCCAATTGTACAAATATGTCTGCTTTTTTATACAATGTAAACAGGCAGGATCTTACAGGTCTGAACAGTATGAGGCGAACAAGGAGTAAGAGTCGTATGCAACCAGAGGGTAATTTTTAAAAAAAAATAATGAAAGGGTGTGTAAATTCCCCAGATTGTGACTTTTGGGATATAAATGTCCAGAATAACTTATTTTGCATTACCTAGATATGGCAATTAAAGGAATTCCAGGATTTTTTTCAGTCTAGTAAAGCTTGCATCCCTATATTCACGTATAGGGAGTAAGATTTACCAAAGTCAACAGAATTTAGTTTTGAGTAGATGTGTATAGAATTGCACTGCAAGTTACACAATTACAGTGGTACCTCTGGATATGAATGGGATCTGTTCTGGAGCCCCGTTCACATCCAGAAGCTAATACAACCCACATCTGCACGTGTGCGGGTCATGATTTGCCGCTTCCACGCGTGCGCATGACGTCATTTTGACCGTCTGTGCATGCTCGAGTGGCGAAACCCAGAAGTAACGCGTTCCGTTACTTCTGGGTCACCACGGAGCGCAACACGAAAGCGCTCAACCTGAAGCAACTTCAACCAGAGGTATGACTGTACTGGGATGTATCAGGGAACTGAAAGGGTTCATCAAAGATAGAGAGGAGTGATAAAAGAGCAACTGAAGTAGATGTACTGCTTGAAAGGGATATTTTACACACACACACACACACACACACACACACACCTGGATGTGATTGCATATGCAATTTGCAATGGATTATATGCAACACATTTATTTTCGATTGAACATTTCAATGCGTAAACAGAAGCTACTTATTAGATAATAATGGTAATATTCCCTTCCTCCCAATTATCTCTAAAGATACAGAAAACCTTGGGGAAACTAGTGCAAAATGCTTGATTTTACATAAAACCCATGTGCATAAGAATGAAATATCATGGGCTCAGTTACACCATTGATGGTATGCCCCTTTCTCCCCTCTCTCCTGCTTTGGTATGCACCCATGGGCATGTGCAGACACTATAGGCTTCTTTCATGAATGGGAGGTACACATAGGCCTCACTCCTAATTCCCGTAAGGGCCTGGCATTGTGAGTGCCTTGAGTATATATTGCTGTGGAGAGAGGAAGAGGAGGAAGCAGAGCCCTATGGAGATTCATTTGGGTGCTGCACTCGTAGAAGACTGGATAAAACTCAAGAGTCCTTGTCTATAACTAAGTCCCCAATGCACAAGTATTTCTACTACCAATGTGAAAATTCCTTTGACTTATTATCCTAGGGCATATGTAAATAAAACGTGCAAAAAATGTTTCAATAGGAACCTGTTAGGGTAAGCTATAGGACACACTGACTTAAATCTGCAAGAAGTGAAGAGTTAACAGTAGTCAACCAACTATGCCTATTACTTACTCCTACTCTTTTTTTTGGAACAATAGTGTGCTATTTTCTTGATGGACAGCATAATGTTCGAATAACCCCCTCACACTGCAAACAATACTAGAGAAAGTGAGAGTTACTTGAATGCATGTGAAAATTTCAGCATATATCTGGCTTCAATTTTGAGCAAATTAGTCTCCATACAAAAAATTTATAGGGCCAGACATACTATTCACCAAATGTCTAGGAAACATAGCTATATATTTTTACTAAAAAAAATTCCCACCTGAATCTGATACCCAATTAAGAAACCCAACATAATGAGAAGCTCAAATTCAAAGTATAAAACTGTCCTGCAGCCCCAGAAAAATCTTCCAAAAATGTGTAGCTTGAATACGATAAAACAAAAAGTTGGTTTTTTTAACTACATATGTGTTAATTAATAATATTTTCATACTACCTTACATGTTGCTGGTTTTATTATGCAGTTGTTTTATTTTAGTTTTAGTCTGTCTTACTATTGTACTATATTAACCTTGTGGATTATTTTTATTAATGAAAAAATGGGGTATACATTTCTTAGAATTAAATAAATCAAACAAATAGAGGATACTCTTTACCTTGCTGTATCCTGAAAATCCCAGAAGAAAATAGTCCTTTTCCATCCATCACTTATCAAAATGGATGTGGAAGTATTCACCCTAAATCCAGACCAACCCTGGATATGGTTTAATAATATGGCAGGTGCCATAGGCAAGGGATGGTCAGAAGGTAGATTGGGATCTGCAGGTAGATAGATCTCTGGGTGATTTGCAAGTGTTTCTGGTTTCCAGTTGTTTTAGCAAGAGAAACAACAAAACAACTTTTTAAATTAGGCTGCTGAAATGAGGAAAGCTAATCTGCAGTAGATTTTTACCTGAAAAGAATGAGCTCATTTCATTTCATTTCATTTATTTATTTAACAAGATAGTTATATACCACTGTATCATAAAAACCTATAACAGCAGTTTACAACAATATAAAAACATAAAACCAGACAGTAAAATCCTAAAAAGTTTTTTTTTAAGTTAAAAGCAAAACAAAAACAAACATCAGCAGACATGGTGTGTACTCTTATTTTCCTGCATAGACTGGCAGAAGAGGAAAGTTTTCAGCAGGTGTTTAACAGCTGGTGCTGAAGTCACCCACTGAATCTCTATTGGCAGGGTGTTCCAGAGGACCGAGCCAATAACACTAAAGTCTCAGTTTCCTGTTGTTGTCAAATTAGCCTCATCAACTTGGAGAATGACCAGAGATGCTCTTGCAGATGATCTCAGTGATCGAGCTGGGATATAAGGGTTCAGGCAATCCCTGAGGTGCCCTGGACCCAAGTTCTTCAGAGCTTTGGAAATCAATGCAAGAACCTTGAACCTGGCTTGGTGGCAGATGGGCAACCAGTGAAGCTGTTTTGATGTCACATGTTCTCAACCAGAAGCTTCCATCAGCAACCTGGTCGCAGCATTCTGCACCAGCTGGATCTTCCAAACCAGACCCAGAGCGCATTACAGTAATCTAGTCTCAAGGTTACCAATGCATGGGCTACAGTGGTCAAGCTAGGAACAGCCATAGCTGGCAAAGCAGACAAAGCTGGTAAAAGGCACTCCTAGCATAGAGGGCACTTGGGCTTCTATTGACAGAGATGTATCCCCAATATAAGCACCTGCCTCTTGAGACAGAGTGCAACCCCATCCAGAACAGGTAAATTGCTAATTTCCTGAACATGGGAACCACAGACCCAAAGAACCTCGGTCTTCCCAGGATTCGAACACAGCTTATTGGTCCTCATCCAGTCTACAACTACATCCAGACACTGAACCAAAAAGCTTTTGCAACCTCTCCTGATTCGGATGTTATGGAACAATAGTTCTGATACTGATAACAAATTCCTGGGCTGAGAATGTGCTCTGAGGCACATTGTTCTTTAATTCTAACAGTACGCCTTTTGCACAGGGCTCTGGCTGATAGATCTTGGGGGGTTCTAGCAAAAACCAAACACCAACATTGTAGAGCTCCCAAGCCTGAAATCTGCCCGCCCCTTCTATAGGCCGCACCAGGATCTCATTAAAGAGCGGGATAAGCTCCCCACAGGGCCTTTTTGTTTGACAGCCTTGTCAAAAACAGAGCTATACATTTATAAATAGTCCTATCTAAATTATCATTAATAAGAATTGCAAACCTCAGCAGCAGGGATACACCTGAAAGTTAAATCATACTGTACGCAAAGACTTGGGAGTCCAGACAGCTACTTCTGGCACACCTAAAGGCTTGCGTGTGGCTTGGGGAAAATTTTAATCATTTTTTATTTGAACAGCTGACATCACACACACGCCATGCCATGTCACAATTTATTTCTGAAGTCCCCCTCCATTTCAAAATCAGATTTCCCTGCGTCACAGGCAGAAAGGTGGCTATTGTCTGAATAACAGCTAAGGCATGTAGAAACATAGTACTTTGAATACCTACCCCAACCCCCCAACCCCAAAATCTTTCTCTTAAAGAACACACACACCAGTTTGGGTGATCCTGTTTTCTCATGCAAATAAGAAGGCTGTTTTCAGAATGAATGACATAGAGATAATATTTTTTCCTGTAAGCAGATGCTTGAAATGCTTTCCCAAAACCCAGATGCTACCTTGCCTTTTCATCATATCTGATGAACAGCATGCCCTGAGGACTCTTTGTTTCAAAATACAGCGATCCTGTTAATGATCACAGGTCTCTATCAAATGCAGACAGTTGTTCCCTACTGCAAGCCTAAACTGACAAGGCTCAAGTTCAGATTTCATGAGTTCAATCCTGAACACTGATGAAGCCAGTCCCTTGCGGGTTTTCATTCTCCCTCTCCCAAAAGGAATGTTAACATTTCCTTTTCATCAACCAGGAAGATTTACATCTAATCTGTCACTTTGAAGTAACTCCTGCCTTGATTTATGCGCAGCAGATGCTACTGTAGAGCCTATTTATTTAAAATGCAACACTGAAGTTGAGAGACTAATGGATCAACATCTGTAAAGGATTATACCACAAACACATATGCCTTAAAACATAATGAAGAAAAGGAGGTCAAAAGCCAAATAATTCCAGGAATTCTAGTAGTTAGGGCACACAACAAATCAGTACTGATCCTCAATGTTTTTACCTCTTGTTATGGTGTCTGTTACAAGCAGATAAGGAAAGACATGAGCGATGAGCCAGGTCTTTGAAGGTTTGGTAGTATTGCCAAATTTTCCAGTGATTCAGCAGAATTCTGTTACGGGGTAACTACAATGCAGTGCTTGTGCGAGGGCAATTTCTTTCTCCTCTTCCCCACTACAGCCTTAAAAAGCTGTAAGGTTTTCCTGATTGTCAGTGGAGGCTTTTAGGTGGGTGGTGCTGTGGGTTAAACCACAGAGCCTAGGGCTTGCCGATCAGAAGGTCGGCGGTTCGAATCCCCGCGACAGGGTGAGCTCCCGTTGCTCGGTCCCTGCTCCTGCCAACCTAGCAGTTCGAAAGCACGTCAAAGTGCAAGTAGATAAATAGGTACCGCTCTGGTGGGAAGGTAAACACCGTTTCCGTGCGCTGCTCTGGTTCGCCAGAAGCGGCTTAGTCATGCTGGCCACATGACCCGGAAGCTGTACGCTGGCTCCCTTGGCCAATAAAGCGAGATGAGCGCCGCAACCCCAGAGTTGGTCACGACTGGACCTAATGGTCAGGGGTCCCTTTACCTTTACCAGTAGGGAAGAAATGGCAGGGATTGTCCCTTCTGCACTCTTGGAGAAGCACTGCATTAGATATTCTTTATGCTGTTTTTCAGTAAGGCTCTAAGTGCTAACCAAACGGAGAATTGGCAAGGAAATAACAGGTGGATCAGCTCCAGGTGAACCAATACCTGACCAAGAGCCTGGAAATATTCGTGGAAAACATTACAGGGTCAGGCTACGACACGCTTCTTCAGCGAGAATGTTCCACAACTTTATCATGACTACTCTGCTTCTGACCGTTACCAAAACTAGCTCACAATCAGATCTCTCAAGGTGGAGTGCTTCGATGGGATAGAGGTATTCCCAAGGAATACCAAACTTAACAACTTTAGGACTTTGTAGGCAATGGCCATCACTTGGTAACTAAGCAGTGCTCTTGGGGGTAGCACAGGTAACCTATAAAGCCTACACTGCTGAATATCTCATGGTACCCCCATGCAGAACTCGCTGCAGTAGTCACTATGTGCAGTTACAAAGCCATGAGCTACAGCTGCCAAGATCCCTCATTTGTTGGAAAGAGTGTGGCTGCCGATGAAGTGTAACAGACAGAAAGAACTGCAGATCAGAAACATCACCTGCTGTCTCTGAACAGCCCTGGTGGCAAACCACTCCATCAGAAGGAGTGTGACCCCTATCAAGCAGGGTCATGCCACCAACTCCCATATCACAAAATTTGGTGTCGTTATGACTTCAGATAAATTCGTAAAATAGATGCTGCAGTCCAACTCCCACATTTCCTTCCATGCAAGATCCAGTTCATGCGATGCTGTCAGCCTTCAAAAATTTAAAAACCAAGCTGTGTAATGTTGTTGGGAGCAGCATGTGCACAAGCACTGAATTCAGCCAAAGTTAGCCGTGGGCACAGCACCACAAATGTTGGAAAGCCGTACATGCCTAAAGTCCATCCCAGCTGAGTTCAACAGATGGTAGGGGCAAGGATATAATTTCCTCACCAAGGGCTTTTGCGAGTGGAAGTTGGCCATGGTACCTTCCTCAAAACTGCCCGTTTCTTTGTGCAAAACACACTACAAAGCAAAGGGTAGACTTTGGAGTCTATTCCCTCATAAAACAAAGTCACCCAGTATTCTTTTCTAGAGAGTCCATATGAAATATAAATAAAAACTGAATAGCTCAGGTGTGCAATTATTGACATTTGCAGGTCTGCACTCTCAGAGAGAGTCACCACAATTGTTGGTCCAGCAAAGCTTTATGGAAACAAATATAGTATAACCTACCAATTATAAGAGAAAAATGTGGCTCCATAGTTGGAGAGCAGAGGAAAATGACAAGAAAAGAAAACAAAGTTAATAGCAAGCTGGAACCAAACAGGACTCATGTTTGTGAATCACAGTCTAGCTTGTTTGTTCAAGTAAAACTGAGATTTAAATTTACAGCCCCAATTGTAATTATAGCTGCTTGACTCAAATACAAGCCAGTGTGTAATGTGCTTTCGTTTGTATTCAATTTATTTTTAGACCACACACCCAAACACAGCTGATCTAAGTATTTTTGATTTCTCAGTTTACTTGATGAATGGTACTGATAAGGAAGTCATGTTTAACATAACTTAAGGCATATAGAATTTGGCCCCAAAAAAGCAAATAACTCCCTTGTAGCTCAAATTATGTATTTGGTGCAGGTCCCTATATCTATGCATTTAGGTGAACACCAGAAGGCCCCAAAACACATGGACAAACTGAAACACATTATTTGTCTTAAAAAGTCCATAGGAAATATACTAGTGTGATAAAACAAAAGAAATTAGATTTTTCCCCCCTATAAAAAGAAGTTGTTGCAACCCAGCTGGAAAAAAGGAAATAGATGAGTTCTGAACTTGAACCCACCCTGATCAAAGGGGACACTCTTTGAACAAGGGTTGCCAGGTCCCCTCCTCCTCTTCTTCACAAGGTTCCTCTATTTCTAACACTTGCATGACGGGCATACTTCAACAGCTTAGCCTTTCAGCCCCAACGAAGCCACAGTCATGGGAACCGTTCTCCCTACTGAATTCCTGCCCACTCTGCAAAGTGTTACATGCACAGGCAAACCTTGCTCTGAATAATCATAGTAAGGGCTATTTGCCATGAGCAAGAAACAAACAGAGCAACCTTCCCCAACCCAGTGTCCTCAAGAGGTTGTCCAGACTACACCTCCCATCATCCCTGACTGTGCTGGCTTGGGCTCATGGGAATTGTAATCCGCATTATCTGAGGTGGTCCCCAGATTGTCTAATTGGCCTTCCAAGTGTGTCCTGTGCCATCATTGTATGCTTCTTGGTGATTGGCTAAGACACACCTCTTTACCTGAGCCTTTGGTTGAGTGGCTGTCTTCCTGCCTCCTGTGTTGCTACACACTGATGTTCTGTGCTGTGGTTTTGTTATTCTGATACTGGCCCTTTATTTTATTTTATTTTTAAGACCTGTATATTTCACTTATTTGAACTGCGATGGTTTTGTAACTGGCCCAGGACCATTTGGTGAAGGGATTCTCTATAAGCAAAAAGAACCTAAGACTAAATTTTTTTGGGGGGGGGGGATTTTGCTTGTGAACTTCCTGGAGGTGTCTGGCTGGCAGCGCAATGCTGGACTAGGTGGACATTGATCAGAACTTGCACGGCAATACTTGCAGCCTTCTAGAGATGGACTTCACCTGTCTCTAGTGGCTGCAGGCTAGATCTAACATAGCACAGAGCAGGAGTCAGAGAGACCAAGGTGTGAGGACACACAGGCTAGCAGAGAGCAACAGAAACTATTCTGACACATTCTTCAGCTTGAAAAAATACAAATGCCTCAGAATCCAGGGAGCGTGTGTTCAAAGCCACTTCCTTATCCCACGCCTTGACACGTGTTCAGAAGCCACGCTTTGCATGCAAAAGTTTCCATGTTTGATCTCTGGCACCTCCCTGCAGGGCCTCCTGTCTGAAACCCTGGAGTGCCATGGCCAGTCCCCAAAGACCACCTTCCCTGCCTCCTCGCATCGCAGGGTAGCCAAACAATAGCTGTGGACAAACTGTTCTGCTTAATGCCTGGCCACTGGTCATGCTGGGAGTCATGGGTATAGCCAGGATTTATTTTAGGGGGGGCAGTCCTTATGTGGTGGTGGTGGGAACAACCAACTTATCTGTGACACGTTTGGTCAGTTAAATATATTTATTTCGCTGCCCCCTCTGGCTAGGCCCATGGTGGGAGTTGTTGCCCATCATTTCTGGCTTCCTGCTTACACCCCACTGGCTTGCCCCTGCCCTCTAACCCGATCCCCTCTAGGTGGGGCTGAACACACCCAAACACCCCCCAACTCCCACCAGGCCTAGCAGAGAGGGCGGGAGCTGGCAGGCCCAAACATCTGGAGGGCATCAGCTGGAGGCTAGGCTGGGGCAGACCATCCCGGATGGACCAATCGCCTGACTCGCTATATGAGGCAGTTCCCGAGGAGGAGGAGGAGGCGCAGCTTCGCCCAGAGCCCGCGCACCCGCTGCCACCCTCACCCACTCACCCCGCGCTCGAGTGGCCGTCTCTCTCTTCCTCCCCCGAAGAAGGTGCGCGGAGCCGAGGCGAGGCTTGGTTCAGGGCAGAGCGAGCGCCGGGAGCCCGAGGAAGAAGAAGAAGAAGAGGAGCGCCGTCGCCACTTGCCTGCCGTCGCCTCACACACCCGAGGGGCGGGGCTTTACCTGCTGCCGGGGTGGGGCTGCCAGGTGGGCGCCCGCCCGCTCGCCAGGGGGTCGGCTCGCGCCCCTCATTCTGAGAGGCGGGGGGAGAGAGGAGGAAAGCACCGGCTGAGGCTTGGAGAGGGCTGGAGGAGGCGCGCGAGAGGACACCTCCCTCCTTCCCTCTCCCTCTCTCTCTCTCTCTCTCTCACACACACACACACACACACACACAGTCTCTCTCTCACACACACAAACACTCACACACACAGTCTCTCTCTCACACACAGACTCACACACACACACAGTCTCTCTCACACACACACCACAGTCTCTCTCACACACACTCACTCACTCTCTCTCTCTCTCTCTCTCACACACACACACACACACACAGTCTCTCTCTCTCTCACACAGACACACACAGTCTCTCTCTCTCTCTCTCTCTCTCTCTCACACACACACACACACACACACACACACACTCGTCCTTCCCGCGCGACGGGCAAGAGCCACGCCTCGCGCTCCGGGACTCCCAGTTTCCTCAGGGAACGAGGAGCTCCTCGGAAAGTTGTTCCCTCGGCGCCACTCTCTCCCGCCGCCTCAAAGAAGTTGCTTTCGGGAGGCGGGACGCGAAGGATGCGGAGTTGTGCAACACCTGTAAGCTCGGCGGGGGCCGAGGGAAAGCGTAGGCGCACGACGGCCGGTAGGCGGCGCTGTGGAGACGCGCAGTTGGGATGAGCGAGAGAGCGAGCGAAGCGCCGGCGCGGATTGGGAAGCGGCTCTTCTTCCCCAGCAACTGCTGGGGTGCCTGGCAGGCTCCTCCTCCGTTTGGACCGGTTGCCTCTTCGGGAACGTCGGACTTCGCAGGAGGAGGGTTTGGGGGGGGCAACACGTCAGGGATTCTTCAGCGGCGCTCGCAGGGGGTTGGACTAGATGCCCCTTGGGGGTCCCTTCCAATCCTAAAAGTCCAGCGTTGGCAGCTCTCGCACGCCTCCCACCTGCGCGCGTGCGCACGGGGAGCAGCCGAGCGACTCAGTGACCCCAGTCATTAACCCCTTGTCACCCGAGGCAGCAATGAACTCGGGCACAGTCCCTGCTCCTTCAAACTGATTGTCGATTGGGGGGGGGGACCCTTTGTATTTGTATAGTTACACACAATAACCTACATCCTGCAATGTTACATATTTATATGCAATTGCATAAAAGGAAAATGAATGCAGGAAAGCAAGAAAAGATGGGCCAATTTCATTTTAGTTCCTATTTAAGATAGCTAGGAAGATGGTTGTATATACAAATGGAAGCCGTATGTATGCACGTTGTAAAACGTTCTTGCATTTGCCTCTTCCCCCCCAGCCCTCTCCCTCAAGCTCTTAACAATAATTTTCAGGTCATCACTGCAAATACCTCTTTAAAAATGACAGTGACAAGACACCAATTTATAATCAGCAACCTCATTAGAGCCACAGTGATTTATATTGACTCCTTTCCCCCACTCTCTTTTTACCCAAGTTGATATTTTGCCTATCAGAAAAGTTACCGTAAATACAGTACTGTACAAGATTGTTTGCAAACACTGCCACCTAGTGGAAGTTAAGTGGCCTTGCGTAAGTAGCGAAGCACTATTCCAATAGTAATAACAACTCATAAATCAATAAATCAATAGGAGGGCTCCTCTGCAAGGGAGAAGCACGGAAGTTTTCCAGAGGAAACATAGGCTATCTGAGTTTGTATAGAAAAGGCCTCCCTTCACCTGAAAGCTTGGAGGCTTGCTTCCTGCCATGGTAGAAAGAACTGGGCTGGATGGGCCAATGGTTGACTCCTTATAAAGGGGAAGGGGATTGTGGTTGAGTCTGCAACTTGCCGAACACAGGTCTCCCTGTTTCTAACATCTTTATAAACCCCAACCCTTTGTGCAAACACAGTTTAGTACTCTGTTCTGATCAAAAGAGAAGGACTGGAAGGGAACTGTGTGTGCCTTATTGACTGAGAAGTCATCATGCTATGAGCGACGACAAATAATAATACTAAATACCGAACGTATTTGCTGAAACCAAATGGGCTGCATTCAATTATCTCCTCTTGGGGAGACAGATCTCATCTGGTTTGTTTCTCCCCCCCCCCCCCCCCCCGGCAACACGAAGGGCTTTTGCTGAAAATAGGGGCTCTGTGCAGGGTCCAAACTCTCTCTCTCTCTCTCTCTCTCTCTCTCCAGCGGCCTGTCTTCAGAGTTGACGTGTGGTTGGTCCTAACAGGCATGAACTCTGCAATGCACACCCAAAACCTTCAAGTTACGTGCTGGGCTGGGCTTATCAATCAGCAGGCTTGCAGCTTGGACTGATGAACAGGTTTGCTCCCACAGCAAGCAACAAGAACCCTGCGTTTGATATGTTTATTAATTTAATTATATTATCATATAATAAATATAATTATATAATTAATATACATTTATTCATTAATGTAGTGAAAAGGTCTGACCTCGGAAAAACCGTCTGTAAACACAGAACAGGGTGAAATCGCAACCACAGATAAATACAGGCCACAAATGCTACTTGCAAGATAAAGTTTACTTCGATTTTATTTCCACTTTTAAACAGTTTTTGGATGATACATCATGCAGTCTGCCAGTGTATCCATACATTTTAATAGATAGTATTTTTAGAACCAAGATCAAAAGACTTATCTATGGGAATGGTTGGGGAGATTCAGGTCTGCTGTTACAGAGCTTTTGTCATTACAGCGTATTTTATAATAGTGGCAATTCCCTCCCCCCCCCCCCCCGGATTGTAATCAGAAAAGTATCCACATTTCACTTTTTCCCCCTAAAACAAGCTACTGTACATACATAGATCCCAGAGAATACACATCTGGAGTACACATTACACACTTTACAAACTAGACATGTATACTTCTACAGAATGCCTGGATCCCTATTGTTCTTTCACATCTTCCACTATTTAAAGTGTTTCAGAAATGAGAGAGACAGAAGTATTTAGGAGTAAGACGTGAACTTGGAAGCTGACAATCCTTTTGTATGGGTGTTTAAAACAGACATTTGTCCAATGTTTTTTGAACTTCATAAAGGCATTAAATAAAGCTCTAATTGCCAACACAACGGAGCGAATTAATCATCCTTGTAAGTGTTGTTGCACAATTCTGATGAGAATGGTTTACTGAATAAAAAAAACATTTTTGTATTCTGCTTGCCTCCAAAGCGTACAATGACATAGTGTTCAATCCATCGGCAACAGATTGCACACAGTTGCTGTATAATCTTTTATTCAACATGGCTTGCATGGGCAACACACAGAGATAGAACCTTCAGAAATGGGAACAGTCATGGGTGATACATTCCCAAGACCAAGGCCTGGGGAAACCCAGCCGGATGGCCAGGGTATAAATAAATTTTAGTAGTAGTAGTAGTCGTATGGTCCATTTCATATACAACATTCTATGGTTGAGTTTTCACGTGTGTGTTTCTTTTTTTTAAAAAAAGTAAGTGTTTCTAGAGATCAAGTTGTTGTTTTACATTTTAAAGTAGCTTTTTTCCGCTCACTGAGGTATGTATACAGAAATGTTTCCAAAAACTCAGCTGCATTTAAGATACTAGTATATCTTAAATGCTTCTGATTTCTACTAGATTCAGAATAATCCACTCTCACCTTTGCTTGGCAAAATACACACTTAGCAAATATCATCACGAGCTTTCTTATTTGTCTCAGCAAGGTTAAAAAGGTTAGGACTAAATAAAATACAAAGTGCATCTGAAAACAACTGCTTAGGAAAATGAGAAATTTGACAGTAGAAAAAGGTACAATTGAAATCAGTAACAAAGAAATTCCATATTGTATGGTTTATAACGTGTCAAGTAATAGATGCAATACTTATTTAAATAAGCTGAAAGAAATGATTTTGAATCTGAAAACTGAAAAGCAAACACAAATGACCATCAGTGATGAAATGTTTATGTTGCTGCCCAAAAATATGGTAAAAATTATTCTATATGACCTACTAATAGGTACCAAAACTAGATCTATTAACACTTCAGCAAAAAAGTAACTCTAGCAGCAAAATAAAATTGCAGTGCCACAGAAACAAGATGAAAATTTGTGGACACTTTAAGAAGTCAACTCTAAGATGTGCCTTTTTAGCATTTCAGAGGATAATCTGCTCTGCCATCTCTGAATCAGAATGGAATAGTTAGTTCTGATGCCTCCATTAAGGGGTTTATGCTAGATGAACTGACTGGCTGATCAGCAACTAGCTGTTCCTAAAGTATATCAGGAACACAGTCCTTATAAAGGCATCAAAAGTTACCTTTCCATGGTGCTCAAGATAGACACACACCTGTGCAGAACAGCTAAAGCCCTCTGTTATGAAAGTGCTTGGGTACACACTTCACACAATTCTCATTAATTCTAATGGTGATTGCACAGGTATAATGCTCGATGGATTACATTCATGATAAGCACGAACTTTTACTTATACAAAACTATATGTTAACAATCGAGGGGGGAGGGCAGTTCAGGTCCACAAAAGCTACACATTAAAAAAAAAAAATCGTAAACGATGTACATGTGGAACTGATCTATATGATATGATATGATAGCCCACACACTGCTTGAGAAAGTATCTGAATGGCAGATGCTACTCATGCTATTTTGAGCCAATTCCCATGTGGATCATTCCCACTGCATACAGCAGGGATGGGGACCCTATGGCTAGACTATCATCCAGAGGGCCACAAATAAAACCTGATTCACCAGGTAAAACCTTAGTAAATATTATCACCACCTTCTGGAGTAGTTGCCATTCAGAAACTGCTTCAAGCATCCTTGTTGGACTTATGGCATACGGACTGGCAGTTAAGTTTAAACAACAGAAATAGCAGTAGACTTCTTGGTACCTTTATTTGGAATACAGAGTTCAACTATATATAAACATCTTGGCCACATTACTCCCAGAAATAGGGTTCGGATATGGCAACTTGTACCTTTCAGTTTGTTGGCAGTGCTTAATACGTGTGTATTTGGAAACAAAAAGGTTTTTTTATATTTAAAAAAAAGTAACAAAATAAATTAAACAAATGTAAAAGATTCAATATTTCATTAAATATGTTACAAAAAGTCTCTCCCACACAAATAGTGCAACCCTTAATAAATTAAGCAAAACCTGAATATCTTTGCTAAGTTTGAGAGCTTCTAAAGCAACATCAGGACAAAACATCTTTCCAAAGGCTTTAGGGTTTTAATGAGTTAGCTTCTTAAAATATGTCTATAAGCCAAAAACATTCAGAAGCCCCCAAACTTACCCTTAATTAAAAAAATAAATAAATAATGCAACAGCAGCAGACAGGACTGAATGAATGTAAACTCCTAATTCAGTCATTTTGAAATAGTCTTTCAGGACAATACATTTTAATGTGCATGGTTGTAGATGTATTATTATTTGTGTGTGTGTGTGTTTGTGTGTGTGTGTGTGTGTGTGTGTGTGTATACACACACATATTACATGAAAGAAACACAACAGACATATTAAGCTACAGATTTAACACCTGTCTTGCCTATCTAACATTTCCTATGGCTATGTTTGATTTCCACTAGAAATAAAATCTGACATCCTACATATGTCA